GTGTAGCTCAGTGGACTGAGCACGGGACTGTGAAGCAAAGGGTCGCTGGTTCAATTCCCAGTCAGGGCACATGCCTGGGTTACAGGCCAGGTCCCCAGTAAGGGAACACGCAAGAGGCAACCACACATTGTTGTTTCTCTCCCACTCTTTCTCCTTCCCTTCCCCTCTCTCTAAAAATAAATAAATAACATATTTTAAAAATATGTTATTTAACCATTTTTAGAGAAAGACAGGGAGAAAGAGAGGGAGAGAAACATCAATGTGTGGTTGCCTCTCATGCACTCCTCCCTTACTGGGGAACCTGGCCTATAACCAACCCTGCCATGTGCCCTGACTGGGAATCGAACCAGTGAACCTTTGGTTCATAGACTGGCACTCAACCCCCTGAGCTACACCAGCCAGGGCTTAACCATTTCTTATTGAACTGATGATTCTAAATCTGTAAGTATGACATTTCCCCTTGAGAATCTTACTCTGCTTATTTTAAAAATCTGTAGATTTGTGATTCTTCCAGTGCATGCTGGTGAGGAATCTGTTACTGATAAGGTCAGAAAACCTAGAAGCCATACCGAGCCTTCCCGTGTGACCAAAGGGAGCCTCATTCCAAACTTGAGATTGATAGAGACCGGTTCTCTCTGCCGCAATGACTTAGAATTGCATGTTACAAGGTACAGAGGGAGCAAGAAGAGGGATTTGCTACCTCACCCCCAACTCACTGAACTATGACCAGAGCATTGTTCGGAAAAAGGAGAGATGGAGTAGGACCCACATTTGGTGCCTGGCCGGCTACTGCGGCATCAGTGGTATGAACTGGCTGCTGGGCGCAGTCTGTTTCCGAAGGTAAAAATTACCCAAGTAATTTGAAAATGAGAGATTTGCCTCCAGGAAGGTGGGCATGTTAGATGCCCTGGTTATTTTGGCCATTCTGGCTGAAGTGGGAGGATTTTTTTAAGCACAGTTCTGTTAATGCCTTTTTTTCTCTCTCCTCCAGGTGGAAGGAGAAAGGGCTCAAGCATTCCCAAGGTGAGCTTTGAAGCAGAGCAAAAATAGTCAACGCTTCTGTCACTCATGCCCCACAGGAGGAAGAGAGGTAAGTTAGTTCCTGGGGTAGCAGCACATTTAATAAAGAAAAAAAAAAGGCAGCCTCTTCTCAGGCCCCGCTGCAGCTGCGCCCTCCCCCACTGGCCTGGTTTCTTCCCTAAACTCACTCTGGTGTCAGCCCTAAACTTACTCACTGCATGGGTGTGAGTAAATCTGCAAGTGAATGGAAAGGAAACAAATTATAATGGTTTTGCAGTTTGTGGCTACATATATATATATATATATATATATATATATATATACACACACACACATATATATATATGATGTATAATAAAATTACTATGAATAGTTTTACATTTATTCAATAAAATGTTTATTTTTAATGTTTATATTGTTATATTACAATATAGATTACAACAATATAAAATGTTTTATTTCCCAACAGTGAGATCAGACCACACGGGGAAAGCTCAAAAACAAGGTTTCAGTGGGACACGACTTCTTGACGTGGAGAGGCAGGTGACCTCCTGTGACTGTGTGAGAGGTCTGTGTGGACCCTGAGACAGACAAGAAGGACCTGCTGTCTCCGGCCCCGCTGCGGATCATGAACACACGGAGCCCCACCGCCTGCACTGGCTCCAAGCTAGAAGCTGACCGTGTCCCATGGACTGCTGCGGCCTCAGGGGCCAGGCCGACCAGGACTTTGACTAAGGGACAGTGCATCTTGGACAACTCTCCAAGGGGCCCTCACTACGACAACATCATGGATGCTGGCTGGACCATCTGGGCCACACGTGTTTATTGACAATAGCCACTCCCCTGGCGAGCGATGTCTGTGCCTGCAACGGCGCACACGCACTGTCCCTGAGCTCATGCACCTCCTGGGCTTAAATACAGGAGAACACGCAATGTATTTAGCACGATGCCTGAGACATAAATATTTGCCATTAAAATAATGATTAGTATTACTTATTTAAAAATTATAATAATATATAACCTACTATACACTTGGTAAACTGTTTTCATGATATTTACTTAATTATTTTTATTAGTAACATTAATATATTGACTTATGTCAATAACATTCTATTAAAATAACAAAACTACCATAAGTGGTATATTAATTTATTCTAGATTAATGATATATCCCGATATGATTAAATATGATACAATATATTTATTTCATAAGATAAAATAAATGATTTATTGATAAACTATTGAAATATATAACAAATTATACACTCACATCCTTGGGCCCAACCATGATGCGCTCTCCCCCCTGTGCGTCTCACTTTTGATCTATGGGGCGGCAACGGTGGGGCTAACACAGTGTGTCCGCGTGCTCCTCGTCCGTATCACAACCGCAAACCTACCGCTGCCCGCCCCTGCCCTGTACACACAGTGCAGGATTTGCTGTAGCCCGAGCTCTCTGCCGCATGTTTCCCACTGGAGAAGAAATGGGGTCCCCCTGGAATAACAGTTTTATTCATCAAAGCCCCAAACTGGAACCACTGGCAAAGCAAACCAGATGAATGAGCAAACACATGTTCATACGATGGAATACAAGTCACAGAGGGAAAGGGGTGCACACGGGCGTGTCACAAAATAAATAGCCTCAGCGTAAGAAACCAGACCAAACCAGTAAGTAAGGGGCCATCCTGTGTGATTTTATTTCTGTAAAAGTAAAGACTTCAAACAAGTCCACAGGGAGCCGGGTGAATGGGTGGTGAGGGGAGGGAAGGACCGCGGACAGACGCAGGGAGCTGGGAGTGCTGAGCACCCCATCTCGAGTACACTGAAGGTTTCGTGAGTACATACAAAATACTTACCACGTTGGATCTTTTAAGTATGTCATATTATAGGGAAAATTCACCTCAATTCACTATGTGAAAACATATATATGGCCCTGGCCAGGTGGCCCAGTTGACTAGAGCATCCTCCCAATACACCAAGGCTGCGGGTTCCATCCCTGGTCAGGGCACATGCAAGAATCAACCAATGAATGTATCAATAAGTGGAACAACAAATGGATGTTTCTCTCTCTCTTCCTTCTTCTTTCTAAAAATCAATAAATAGAAATTTTAAAAAGATATATGTGGGGGGCAGTGGTAGGGAGAAAATGAGACAACTGTAATTGAACAACCATAAAGTAATTAAAAATATATATATATGTACCTCCCTCCAGATCTGATCATTGCTCTGAGACCATCGGGCTCAGCCTGGATGAGAGGTCGGGAGCCCCGGTTCCCAGCCCATCTCCGACTGACTGCCGCAGCCCTGGGCGAGGCCTGGTCCTCCGCCTCCCCTGGCTGAGGGGAGGTGAGGGCCAACCACTAAGCCCCTCCCAGACCAGAACCAACACAAGCCTCCCAAGTATTTCTGCACCTCCCCTCTTCACTGTCACCAACCTGAGAGACAGCCACCCCAAAAGGCAGTCTACCCTGACAAGGCCAGCTTCAGCTACCACCTGAGGGCAGGGACGGGTCAAGGACAGAACTCTGGGTCACCACTTAGACTGTCTTAAGCAGCAAACAGAATTCATTTGGCTCCTGTGACGGTTGGAGGCCTCGATCAGGTAGGTGCAGAGAGCACGGCAGGGAGGCCCGTCACAGCTCTAGTTTCCTCTGGGCTGGCCGGCCTCACTCTTTGAGTGGCTGTGTTTGCCCCACAGCTTGTCTTGACCCAATTTATTCAAAGTCCAGTGGAAAAAAATTTTCTCTTCCCCAACAGTTCCAACAAAAGTCATGGGCCCCACAGCACCAGCCCCAACTGCACTATCTGTCCTCCTGCAAACTAACTGAAGTCTGCGGCCGGGAGATGGCCCGCCAGGGAGATTCCCTGACTCTAGCTAGGCAAGTGATCTCCGTGTAAACCGGCAGATCCCTGGCCTTGTGGGTTGCAGAGGGTGAGGGCTCGACAGAACCCCCACAGGAAGGTCAGGGTGCAGGGACGAGAGTATGGCTGGGGACCCTGTGTAGCCAAGGTGAGCTTGGCGCCTGAAGAAGCCACGTGGGCTTCCACCTGGCCCCAGCCCATGTTGGAAGCCCACCCCAGGGCCCCATTCACCTAAAAATCCACTGAGACCAGACCTGTGCTGCCCAGGCCAGGCTAGATCCACTCCCCGCACCACCTGACATCTGGGTCGAACTCAGATTTCATGTGACAATGTTGCTTGTGCCAAGGAAAGACAGCTGTCCTCACTGAGGAGGCCCTGCATGGCCATCTCTTGCCAGGCTGCTGGCTTCAGCGAGCACGTTGGATGAGGACACTTGGAAGGAGTGGATGCTGGCCCACCTGCGACAACCCTGCAGGGAGGGTGAAGGTGAGACAGCGTGCTCCAGACAGGTGCTGGCACACCTGTTAGAAAAGTCCCACAGTGTCCCACTGGCACTGCCTGGCCCTTTCAGAGGTGAGAAGAGTGAAGTTGCTTGTGGGCATCAGCGTCCTGCATGTCGCAGGGCTGGAGAGACCCTGCTGAAGGATGGAAGTGGACAGTGGACATGAAGGCCAGAGGGCAGGCAGGACTGGCATGGATGGGGGCAGAGGCGAGAGGCCCGCAGACTTGGTACGCAGCCCGAGGGAGCAGTGGCTTCCGACCTTTCCCTCACGGCACACGGAAACCGGTGACTAAAACTCTGCGGCCCACCAAAAAATGTATTTTTTGCCGATCTGACAAAAACTAAGTATAATTTTGACTCATTCAGACCAGACGACTATTGTTGTGTTGGCTGTTATTTTTTATTTGACAATCTAAGGGAAAAGAGGTTGCCCGACTAAATAGTCAGGCATTGCATGTTTCATACATTCTTGTGGCACCAGCAGTCAGGGGTGTGTGTGAAAATCACTACTGTGGAGGGTGGAGATTCGCTGGGGTGGCAAATGTGCCCCCCACCCCTCCGCACTCAGGTCTCATCAAAACCCAACCAGCAAGTATGTACAAAAAGGTTACAAATATCTCAAAACACAAAAGCTCAGTACTTTTATTTTTCCAGTTTCCTTTTTCCTTCATGGCGCAGCAGCAGGGGATGGGAGGGGAATGGAACCCTGGATTGGCAGGGATCCTTACTCCGGGCTGCCTCCTAAGCCATCAGAACCCTGAAGGGTCCCCCTCAGCCCCAGAGCAATGGGCCACAGCTGCACTCCTGCTCTGGGCACAGGTCACGTCCCTGCAATTGGTGCCATCAGTGTAGTCTCAGCGACCAGCCATTTACAGGCCACAGAGTGGCTGGGAGACACGTGCATTCTCGGTGAGACCTCAGCTGTACTGGCTGCTGGGGGGAACAAGACACCAGCAGGGCCCTGTGCCCATGATCTCTGCTGCCCTTTGGGGGCTCAGAAAATGAGTCTGCATGGAGCAAGGGGTCATGATGCAGACTCTGTGCCCTTACCTCAGGGTCCTTCTGTGTCTGCATAGAGGCAGGAGATGGAGGCCAGGGGAAGGGGGCCTGGGGCTGTGTGAACCCCTGGGTACTTACTTGGGAGGGGGCCTTCAGCCAGGCACTTGGGCTGGACCAGGGGCCCAGGGCAAAGAGGTGAAGTAGGGGGGAGGCAGGCCCTACAAGAAAATTCATCACCTCCCAAACCCACCAGCTCCCTTGGGGACCCCCAAAACCTGTGGCCCCCCTCAGCTGTGGGCAGTGGCTGCTGTGCTCAGGCGGGCAGCCCTAGCCCTGAGTCTGCCAGGGCTGCATGGGGACAAGGGTTTTTTCCAGAACCATGTTAGGTGAGTGGCTGGCAGGAGACACCACTTGGTGTGAGCAACCCCGGCACCCCAGCTCCACGCTCCCTACCCCCCCAGCTGCAGTTCCTACAACAGCTCAGCAGTTTCCCACACGGGTCACAATCCAGAATGTACCAGAACATTCCAGTGCAGAGAGGGCAGCCTTCAACTGCCTGTGTCCCCAGCCTGAGTGCCAATCACCAAATTCAGGGCTTAATGGGAGCACCAGAACTCGATCATAAATGTGACACCGATGCACCGCTATTCGAAGGGACAGGCATCAGAACCGGCCAGCGTCTCTTTTTCCTTTTTTAATGGCTGAATTGCAAAGAGCCAGCCCCTTACCTAGGACAAATTCTGGGACAGGGGCTGTATTAGTGCAACAAAGAGAAAGCCTTGACCAGATGCAAGCACTTTCCAGATTTCTTGAGGACGAGCTCTCTTCAGCCCACGCTGACCACCAAGTGCAGGTCATGGACACTGGCTATGAGAAATGACCAGGGAGAATGGCCCCTCTCCTAACCCTGCCCTACCCTCCCTGGGATGCTGAGCTGGAGACCAGCGTCTCCCATCCTGTTTCCAGACTGGGAGCTAAGGCACCAGGGCAGCGGGAGCTGGAGCCCCCACCCAGGGCTGGCAGGACCTCTGGGCGCATCAACAGGCCAGCAGCTCGCTGCCCTCCACCTGCAGGCCTTTGCTCAGGAGGAAGGCATCCTGCTTGGGGTCCCGACCCAGGAAGAGCTTCAGCATGACGCTGGCATCCTGGGAGCCACCGGGTCTCAGGATGCAGCTTCTGTAGTCCAAGCCAACCTACAGTGGGGCAGAAGGGCAGCGCTTGGAGAGCGTCTCGAACATCCCACACCAGCTCCCAGGGGGCCTGTGGGGCCTGTGTCAGCATCGCGAGGAAGAATGTGCCGCTCACACCTTGGATGGGGGTCTCAGAACAAGTGCGTGTGCAAATGCACGTGTGCAAAACTGCATGTGTGCAAGCTTGTGTGTGTAGGCACTCCGCCCTTCGGGACAGGGGTGTTTGAGCCTCTGCTGTGACACAAAGGGCTGGAAAACTGGCTGAACCCCCAAGCACCACAGGGTCTCAGGTGGAGTCCTGAAGGGCTAAGGGAGGGTCCAACTCTGCCCCAGTGCCCTGCCCTGCCCTGCCAGGGCTGGCTGCACCAGCACACAGGCCCAAGGCCAAGGCCAGATGTCCTCAGTCCTTGGCAGTAGGGTCATCAAAGTCCTCTCCTCACCTTGCCATTGAGGACGCCCTCCTGCTTGAAGCGCGTGTGGAACATGTCCATGGAGAACACCTCGCTCCACAGGTAGCCGTAATACTGTGCGTCGTAGCCTCCCGCCAGGTGGCCGAAAGTGGCAGGCATGTTGGTTCCTGGGAGGAGCATGAGGCGGTGTGGAGGACGGCCTGGTCCCTGGTCCGCCCTCATGGGAGGGGGCTTCAAAGCAGCCGCATCAGAGAACCCTCCCCATTCGGAAGGAGGGAAACTGGTGCAACAATTCCAGGAAACAGAGGCCCCGTGATTCGGCCAGAGGAGCTCAGCTGATCTTTGCTGAGAGCTGCTGAATCGGGGAGGGCTCACCTGGAGCATTTTCAACAATGCCAGCAGCCACAGCACCAGGGTTCAATGTCAGGAATCATGGCTCTTCCACACGACAGAGGACATGTGTGGATTAAAACACTTTAAAATGCTCATGAGCCCTGGCTGGTGTAGCTCAGTAGATTGAGCGCCAGCATGCGAACCAAAGGGTCACCAGTTCGATTCCCAGTCAGGGCACATGCCTGGATTGTGGGCCAGGTCCCCAGTAGGGAGGTTCACACGAGAGGCAACCACACAGTGATGTTTCCCTCCCTCTCTTTTTCATTCCCTTCCTGTGTCTCTAAAAATAAACCGAATCTTAAAAAAAAATAAAATGCTCACAAAACAGAAAAGCAGTGCAACACCACCTACATTAAATCTCAACTCCCTTCCTGCATGTTTATTAAATGTTTATGTCTATATGTGCATATGTGCAAGTATGCACATGCTCTCAGACAACAACATACATCGAAATTTATCTACTGCCGTGTCCAGGGATGAGATCCCTCGTCTTTTCTACACCTTGCAGGCTTCTCACAAGGCAATGCGTGGGAGGGCGCCCTGAGGGAGCGCATGCAGGCGCTGTGGGGATGGAAGCCACACACTGCCTGAGAGAAAGGATGGAGCCGCCCACATCGGCTGCCCATCAGGCTCCGCTGCTGGAGCCAAGGACCTAGGAAGGCAAAGCAGAAGTGAGGCCAGGGGCTGCCTGCTTCTCTCCGGTCAGCTGAACCTACGGACCGGCCAACTCCCTTCACGTGGCACCAGGTTTCTGGTGACCCAGAGGACAGAGACCCCTAACCTCTAAGGCAGGCAGGCTCTCGAGCAGTTACCTGGCGTGGCTGGGACCCCGAGGACCTGCTGGCAGAGGCGGGAATACTCCTCCGCTGGGTCGGCAGCCTTCTGCGTGTGCAGGGCCTGGTCCACCTTGGCCAGGACGATCTGGCGCAGGTTGAAGAGACCTGGTTGGGGGAAAGCAGATGGGAGGCTGGCACGGCGCTCTCCCCAGCGCTCTCCAGCCAGGGCTGTCCAGAAATCCCAAGGGCGCACCTGGGCCTCGAAGGCTACCACGGGGGCACCAAGGGCTCCCCTCTTTCCCCTGACCTCAGGGTCCGGAGGGTGGAGACCAGGGGTGGTCCCAGAGCTGGCTGAGGCCTCACAGAGCGGGGACGCAGTGGGGCACACCTGTGTTGGCCTGCCGGGACTTGATGAGCTTCTCGAGCAGCTCCTGGGGGATGGCGCTGCCCGTCCTGTAGTGCTGCGACATCCTGAGCAGCGGCTCCTTCTCCCACACCCAGTTCTCCAGCATCTGGGAGGGCGCCTCCACGAAGTCGCGCTCCACATGCGTCCCGCTGAACATGGCAAACTCCGCCTGTGGGGACGGGGCAGAGAGCCCAGGAATGCGGGACCCTGCTCTGCCAGCTCCTGTCTGTCAAGCCTCATCTGGGTGCACAGGTACACAGTACCCTAAGCCCACGCGGGTGGGTAGATAACATCCTGAGCGTGGGCCCTCCTCCCTGCAGAGGACACTTGGCCAAGGATGGGGACAGCTGAGTTTTCCCCGGGAATCTGCTGGCCAACGTGTCTCAACCCAGGACACAGAGAGAGGCAGAGAGCACACATGTCCCTGCTGGTCACCCAGGGTCCCTCTCCTACCCACAAAGCCAATGCTCGTGGTAAGTCTGTAGCCCAAAAGGCCAAGGCCCGGAAACAGTGGAATCTATTGACAGACGTTGGAAGGCACGCTGTGTTTGGTCCACTTTTGTGGATCTGAAATTTTTCCTGAAAAACAGCACTTTTTCCAGAGCAGCCAGAACTTAGGTCTGGCAGCTAATCAGTCACACAAGCTGCTGAGTGACTTCAGGCAAGTCCTATCCTGGCCCAAAGTGAGGCAGGGAATCCGGAAGGGGAGGGTACGTGGTCGGTCCTTCCCAGCCACTGCTACCACATTTGAGAACTATGACTCACTAAAATGTGCAGCCCCCAAATCGACCAGCCCCAAGCTTCCACGGTCTTTTAACACTCTGCTCTCTGGCTTCAGCTCTGACTGTGACATGTCCTTTCAGTCTATTGAGTGCCCTGTTTTTTGTACATTTCTGGTTTTATGAGTGATTTCAATGTTCAAAATGGCCACCAAATGTGCTGGCTAGTGACTTGAGTGAAAGAAGGTTGTGACGTGCCGTAGGGAGAAAGCCCGTGCACCAGAGAAGCTCATTTAGGCATGAATCACCACACTGTTGGATGTGAAGCAACAATGGACATCACAAAAGGCATCTTTACGCAGAAACGCACAGAACACAAGGCCGTAAAAACACCATGACCAGGCTTGCAGGGACCCAGCCCTGCATTTCCCTAGGGGCAGCGGTTCAGTGTCTGCTACCTCGGTATTTGTGGCAACTTCAAAAAAACAGAACTGCTATAAATAATAAAGACCTGAAGAAAATGATGTGGGACTGGGACAGTCACTGGTAGAAGAATACCCCAGACATGGGAAAGAACCCGTGAGTGCACTGCACACGGAGGGACTCGAACAGCGCTGGGGGCACCCAGAGCCCAGGTGTTGTACAGACACCGGCTTTGCCCTGAGTTGCTGTCGGCAGTGAGCAGGAGACCCTTACCTGACACCACAGGCAACACTTAATTTACAATCGATGACAGATTAAAATGAAGAGCTAAAACCTTTAAAAAAATTAGCAAAAAATTACTGCCTTAGGTTAGAAAACAATGTCTTCAATAGGACACACAAAGAAACTGCAAACTATGACAGAAAAGAATAGACTAAACTTCACCAAAGTCAAAGAACTTCTCATCAAAACATACTTCTAAGTGGTCCACCCACACATGGAATATTACTCAGCCATGAAAAGGAGTGAAGCTCTGACACTCTCTACAGCGTGGATGGACCTTGAACACATGGTGCTCAGAGAGAGACGCCAGGCACAAAGGCCCCAGAGTGTGTGAGTCCATGTATGTGACACGTCCAGAGCAGGCACATCCAGAGACCAAGAGAGGATTAGCAGTCGTCAGGGACTGGGGAGGGGGTGGACAGAGAGGGGAGTGACTGCTAAGAGGAAGAAAGGATCTTCTGGAAATGATGGAATGTTCCAGAACTGGACAGTGATGACAGCCTCACAGCTTGGTGAAATGACTAAAAACCACTAAGTACCCAGTTCCCACACACTCCCATTTAGCCCCTAAGCACACTTTTGCTATCAGGAAAAATGGATGACAGAGTGTGAGAGGGGCCAGAGAACAAACGCCCATGTGTAGCTGGGGTCCTGTGGCTCGGCCACCAGGCTGGGGAGTCCTGTCAATGCCACTGAGGGCTTGTCTTGGGGAAGCTGCCTCAACCTCCCAAGCCTCTGCATCTCCATCCAGAAAGCACAGCACCCCTCGAGCTCTTCACCGGGCTCGGCGAGTGTTCGCTGAATCCAGCGCCAGGCTCGGTGTCTGCGCCCTGCAGCTGGTACCCTGGTGGCCACCACTGGCTTTCACAGGATCGCACAGAGCTTCTCAATGTGAGCTCACACTTGACGAGACTGGCATGAGCGGCACTCTAAGCACGTTACATATAGATGTATATATCTTCACTAATCTAACACCTCTGACAGCTAGTAAGGACTGAATTGTGCCCCCCAAATTCATATATTGGAGTCCTGATCCAACATATGAATGTGACTATATTTGGGTATGGAATCTTTGAGAGGTGATTAAATGAGGTGACCAGGGTGGCCTGTAGTCCAGTACGACTATTGTCTTTTAAGATAGTTTAAGGAGAGAGGTTTCAGAAAAACCAACCCTGCCCTCACCTTGACCTCGGACTTGTAGCCTCTAGCACCGGGAGAGCACACATTTCTGTTGTTTAAGCCGCCCCCGTGGGACTTTGTGATGGAAACTGATACGAGAAGGTGTTACCATAGCCACAGTCATGTCACCTGAAGAATCCAACATGGAGAAACCTGTCTCCAGACCCACTAACCAACAGGCGTGAGGGGGGCACCCCTGCCCTCCCCCCAGCCAGCCCCTCAACCCTGTGCCCACCTGAGAGCAGAGCTGGTGCATCACGTGCCCAAACTCGTGGAAGTAGGTCTCCACTTCATCATGCTGCAGCAGAGAGGGGGCGTCCGGGGTGGGCTTGGTGAAGTTGGCCACCATGGCCGCGATGGCAATCTGGCGGCTCCCGTCCGGCCGCAGGCAGCCTGGCTGCAAGCCAAAGCAGGCTGCGTGCCCATACTTGCCTTCCCTGGGGGGGAGGGGGCAGGGTCAGGCCTGGCTGGGGGTCTGCTCCTCTTGCTGACTGGCCCAGAGGGGCAGTGACCCCAGGCCACTCCCTGACCCTGTGTTCCTCAATCGACCCATCTGCCAGCGGAGGCAATTAGACACCCTAAAGGGCTCTCAGCAGAGGAGAGAGCAGCCACGTCCCCAAATGGTATGAACACTCCTGGCCCCCCACCTGCAACCCCAGCCCACACGCACCTCGGGTAAAGGTCCAGGTAGAACTTCCCGATGACCGTCCCTGAGGAAGTGTCCCTCACTGAGTACAGCTTCACATCTTCATGCCACACAGCGGCATGCTCCTCCAAGTCGAAGGTCAACCCCAGCAGCTCCTCATAGATGCCCAGCAGCCCCCTGGTGACCACCTGCATGGGGAAGTACTCCTTGAGCAGGTTCTGGTCCACGCTGTAGCATGTCTCCTCCACCTGGTTCATGTAGTAGCGCATGTCCCAGGCGTTGATCCGCCCGTCGAAGTCTAGGCCCCGCTTCTCACACTCGGCCTTCTTCAGCTCTAGGATCACCGCCCGCTCCTGCTCTCCGAGGGGCTTCAGCTTCTGGGCCAGTTCATCTGGGGGCACAGAGGGGAAAGGCAAGGCTGCCTCCCTGCAGTGGCTTTCACGAAATGAAACCTTCTGTCTCATTTGCAAGGAGAGAGAACATAACATCCCCTGGCACGATCGGGCCACAGGAAAACAAATCACAACTGGAAAGTTGAGTGGACAGCTTCCAGTCATGTGAGGAAACCCCGAGGCCGCCCATGCTCACCCCCACTGTGGCAAACCCCACACGCTGGCCTTGGCTTTCTCCACCGCCTGGGCCCTGGTGCATGGAAAGGACGGCCTGAGACAAAGCCTGAGCGAGGCAGTGTCCCATCACCTCAGAGCAGCTCCAAGAAGGGTCATCGGTCTTGTTTTCACAAGGAGGAAATGGCAGGCACACAGGAGCTGCTTGTCTAGAGCCTCACTCCCAGACAGGCAGGGCTGGGCCAGCTGCAGGCCTTGCCTGGGACCCAGAGCTCAGCAGTTAGATTAGGGTCCTTCTGGTCAAATACAGGGGCCAGGGGAGGCACTGGGATGCCCACCTCAGGGTGGACAGAAGGGGGCTCCCAGAAGCACCATCATGTCATAGTCAAGAACAGCATGTGGAAGGTGGGGAAAGCCGGTTACCTAGGAAAGTGGCCACCGCCTGGCTGGTCTTGGCCATGTTCATTTCCAGGACGTAGTCGGCATGCGTGCTGAAGCCCAGCAGGCTGGATTTCTGGGCCCGCAGGGTCACCAGCTCCCTGAGGATGCCACAGTTCTCCTGGAACCAACAAGTGAGCAGGCCTGTGGATGCCACTTCCCCCACATGGGGCTCCCAGGCCAGCATCTGGCTCCTCTGGTGGGTCTCAGCAGCCGCAGGGCTGCTCAGGCCCCCGTCCGGCACAGCTCTGGAACTTCTGCTTTCCCCCTCCTGACCTTGGCTGGATCTCTGCATACTTGGTTCTGTCCTGGCATATAAACTATAAGCCCCCCGGTCCTTTTTGCAAAAATGAAGCATGTGAACCGTAAAGAGTTCTGAAACTGAGTGAAGAGCAATGTGTGGGCCGGGACTCTCCAAGATGGTCTCCGGAAGGCGCTGTACACCGGGTGCCCCTACCAGGCAGGGCCCAGCCCAGGGCTCAAGGCACCAAGTCTCTACCAGCACCTCTGAGCAGCCAAGCCAACCAACCATGCTCATGGGGCCAACACAAAATGAAACCTTCTGTTTCATTTGCAAGGAGAGACAGAACATAACATCCCCTGGCACAATCAGGCCACAGGAAAACAAACTGCAACTGGAAAGTTAGGGATTCCAGTCACGTGAGGGAACCCAAGGCTGGTTACGGCAGTGCTAGTTAGCATGCTGTGTCCCATGGGACCTGGAACTCTGCCCATCCCTCTGTTCTGCCTCTTGGGTCAAGTCCAGGGGCCAGGACGGGAGTGAAGACGGTGAGCTGTCAACCCCTATCCAGTCCTGAGCAGCCGAAGAGCCTGCTGCTTGAGCTCTTGACATTCTCAAGTTACTGCCGGCCCACAGAAAGCAGCACATCCCCACCAGAGCCGTCACTCCCGGCTCTGGGGTCAGGCAGGCCCACGTCTGCAGGCCGCCAGGGGCGCCCACTGGGAGTGCTGCCTCCGCCAGGGCTGCATCTCAGATTCCGCAGTGCAAACCCCAAGTTATCTTCATACCAAGTGGTCTTCAATCCCAAGAAGTGGAGAGCACAGGGCTTTACCAAATGTATTTCCTGTTATCTTGTGACCTCCAGCCTGTGACTCCTCTCCACTGGCCATGTGAGCACCAGTGGTGTCGCAGCGAGGATGAAGGGGACCCGTTCCAACACCCTTATCTGTTTGAGGCTAAACAGGAGTCACTCAGAGGCCACACTGTGGTGCAGACACAAACACAAGTGCCCCTGTAGGAAAGGACATCTGAGTACTGAGGCCATGGCCAGAGGCCCGGACCCCACATAAGCTGCTCAACAGCAGAGGGCAAACCTGAGCTCAGGTCCGGGCAACAACAGAATGATGTGAGGCTAAGGCGGGGTTGTGGGAGACAGTGGAAGGAGAGAGGGTACTGGGATTTATGCAGGAGCAGATGCAGGACAGAAGCAATGAGGCAATCAAGCCACCAAACTCACTGAGCGTATCCCTGGTCACTGGACCTAGCCAAGTAGACATTGGGCGACCCTTTACAGGCATAGCCACTGAGGTGACTCACACCAGCACTGAGCAGATGGGACAGGCATGGCACTTCCAAATTCCAGACGAGACTGTTTCGCAGACAGACCCCCCGGGCGAATCCCTGAAGCCAGACCCTGGCATCGCTTCTTACCTCCTTGCATCGACAATTGAAGGCCTCCTCCACCTTTCTTCTGGTCTCAGGTACATGGCATTTCTTCAGGAGAGGAAAATAGTGAGGGTACTTGAGGGTGACTTTGAATTTCCCATCCTCAGTCTTTTCCAGAGAGTTCAAAAAGTCTTCAGGAAGCCCTCCTATGAACCAAATTAGGGGGGCTTTTAAAGATCAGTACACATATAAGATGGGAGGGGTGGGCTAGGAGCAGGAGCGGCAGCCACACTCTATTTCTGGCTTCTGCCCCGAGCCCCAAAGGCAAGATGTCCAGAACCTGCCCACCTCGGAAATCTGCTACCATTTGCATCAGGACTCCCTTGGGAAACAAAAGCTACAGTCAGCCGGACCCTTGGACAGGATGGGCTTCCTGAGGCTACATTCTCCTCCTGTGCCCTTTCTCAATAAATGGCACCACCATAAACAGAACCTACCCAGCAGCCCTGACCACGTTTCCCACTGGACTGCACCCCGGTCCCAGAGAACTGCACTGCTCCAACAGCCTCCCACCTGGTCCCCTGCTCCTGACCCATCTGCCCATGACAGAGATCTAGGTACACTGCCCTCAGACTGAGCGCCTGAACTCAGGGCTTCCCCCTTGAGAGGAAGGGATGGAATGGGCCTAGAAGATCCTGTGTCAAAAGAAAGGTGCTCAAAGACAAACACAGACACGGAAGGCTCGAATCGCCCCCTTGAGGTCAAACTGGACAATCTGAGCATCACTGTAAATGATGCCAGCAGTAGACTATAATCCAGGGAGTGAAACAGGACCAATGGTCCACACTGATACAGATAAATTAACATGTAAATGGGGACCCCCAACCAGTGTAGCTCAGTTGGTTGGGCATCGTCCTGCAAAGTGAAAGGCTGTTGGTTCGGTTCCAGGCCAGGGCATGTGCCTAGGTTTCGGGTTTGGTCCCCAGTTGGGGCACACAGGAAAGGCAACCGATCAGCGTTCCTCACATAGATGTTTCTCTCCCTCTTTCTCCCTCCCTTCCCCTCTCTAAAAATAAATAATATAAAATAAAATAAATAAATGGGAGAAGGGAAAGCCCCGGCTTGTGAGAAAACCAACTAACGTGTACAAAGTCACCCATGGGGACTTCTGCCAAGATGGAGGCGTAGGTGGAAGCACTGTGCCTTCTCGCACAACCAAGTTTAAAAACAACCAAGTTTTAGCAACAAAAACACAGCCAAACCACAGAAAATTGAACTATACGGAAGTGTGACAACAACAAACCCTTCAGCCAAACCGGTAAGAGGGGCAGAGCCAGCAGCAGAGTGGGGTCAGGCAGGAAAGATCCACGGGACCGACCCAGGCGCGCGACCCAGGTGCACCAGCAGCTGTGGGCGGATCCCAGGTGTGGAGAAGCAGGCGGACCCACTGAGCACAAGGTGGTGGACCCACAGAGGGCTGACCACGGTCACACATTCGTGTGCAGATAAACTGGTAAAGGAGTGAACAGTGAGACGGACCGTGCAGGCCCCAGCGGCGGGAAGCAGCAGAGGGGACTGCTATTGTCCCTCTCTGACCCCGCCCCCACATACAGCGTCACAAACCAGCAACCTGGGTGGCCCCGCCCTGGTGAACACCTAAGGCTCCACTCCTCCTCATATGTAACAGGTGCAAAAAGACCAAAACATGGCTCAAGAACTCAGAGCTCCAGAGCCCATAAATCTAAGTGACCAAGAAATAGCCAAACTTTCAGATGCACCGTTCAAAACACTGGTGATCAGGATGCTCACAGAACTGGTTGATTTTAGTCACATATTAGAGGAACACATGAAGTCTAAACTAATTGAAATGAAGGGAAATGCACAGGAAACCAACAGTGATGGAAAGGAAACTGGGACTCAAATCAAAGGAGTGGACCAGAAGGAAGAAAAAAATGACCAAACAGAAAAGGATGAAGAAACAAGAATTCAAAAAAAAAAATGAGGAGAGGCTTAGGAACCTTCAGGACATCTTTAAACGCTCCAACATCCGAATTATAGAGGTACCAGAAGGGGAAGAGGAACAGCCACAAGTGGAAAACTTATTTGAACAAATAATAAAGGAGAATTTCCCCAATCTGGCAAAGGAAATAGACTTCCAGAAAATCCAGGAAGCTCAGAGAATCCCAAAGAAGTTGGACCCAAGAAGAAACACACCAAGGCACATCATCATTACATTAGCCAAGATTAAAATGGGAGAGAATCCTAGAAGTAGCAAGAGATAAGGGGACAGTTACCTACAAAGGAGTTCCCATCAGACTGTCAGCTGATTTCTCAAAAGAGACCTTACAGGCAAGAAGGGGCTGGAAAGAAGTATTCCAAGTCATGAAATCCAAAGACCTACAACCAAGATTGCTCTATCCAGCAAAGCTTTCATTTAGAATGGAAGGGCAGATAAAGTGCTTCTCAGATAAGATCAAATTCAAGGAGTTCATCATCACCAAGCCCTTACTATATGAAATGTTAAAGGGACTTACCTAAGAAAAAGATGAAAGAGATGAACAGTGAAAGGACAGCAAACTCACAGTTATTACCATCCACACCTAAAACAAAAGCAAACTAAGAGGACAGCTAGATCAGGAGCAGAACCATAGAAATGAAGATGTCATGGAGGGTTAGCAACAGGGGGGTGGGAGAAGGAGAAGGGGGGAGAAGGTACAGAAAATAAGTAGCATAGATGGCAGGTAGAAAATAGATAGGGGGGAGGGCAAGAATAGTAGGGGAGACATAGAATCTAAAGAACTTGAGACACGTGGTCATAAACTAAAGGAGGGGAATGGTGGGGGAGGGGTGTGCAGGGTGGAGGGGAATGAAGAGGGGAAATAGAACAACTGTAATGGCATAATCAGTTAATTTTTTTTAAAAGTCACCCATGGGTGCTACAGCTGGTGGGCAGTAATGTGATGAGCAGCGGTGTCACAGCTGCACTTGAGAAATTACTGATCAGAAAGGAAAAACTGGTGTTTCAATGGCAATGCCTGGCAGACGGTCACCTACTCAAGTAATTAAGATCCAGGGAGGGAAAAAAAGGTACATAGAGAGAGACACATTGTATTTTTGTAAAATAACACCAAGTATCCCTTTTACAACCAGAAAAAAAAATAAACAAGTGCTGCAATCTTGCTCAGATAGACCTGCAGGCAGGGCCAGACCCCGCAGGGCCGGCCACACGTCCCAGCTGCTGCCACTGCCCCCATCCCAGCAAGACACGGTGTCTGAGGTCAGCAGGGGTACACAATCGCCCACCCCACATGCTGGGGAATGAAGCTGCCCACACAGGCTAGTCCGACCAGCCAGGCCCTCAGGCTGAACAGATAGCAAAGCAGTCCCATGGACAGCGAGGGTGAGCAGGTTCCTCAGCTGAATTCCAGAGTCCTGGGGTTCCCCTTTGGTCAGGAAACATGGTGGCCATCCTTAACTGTCAGAAGCCACATGGCAGGACTTGCTACCTGGGCACAGTGGGGGCTGAATGGGAATGAGGGGCAGCGGAACACAGCTGTGATCAGTCTGTAAGCACTTGTTCTAGAAGATGCATGATCATGGGTCTCTGTGGTGCAGCCACCTTCAATGAGGGCCCTGCGTCCTACCACCTCCAAGGCAAAAGCTGCAGGACCCACAGCCAGATCTCACGTAACATGACTCCACACTGCACTACACGCCATTGGTTAGGATACACAGCCTGCTCAGAGCCTCTCACAGGCGGTTGTAGCACAGCCACTGGCCCGGAGTTTTCAAAACTGGTGGTGTTGGAAAAGAGGGGAAAAAATATGCAAAAGGCAGAGGAACTGTTCGACAGGAAAGGAGGCTGATGAGACATAAAAACCAAACAGATCCTGGTTGGGAGAGAGAGAACATGCCGACGTGGGAAACCTGCCTGCACTCCCAAGGACACTGCCCGACGTTCTGCTCCCTGAGTGTAAGGCCTGCACCTTTGATGCAGGAGAACGTCCCTGTTCCTGCTGAAGTGTCACAAGCTGACGAGGAACTCCCAGAGGTTCAGAAACAGTGTGCGTATAAATACAGACAGAAGAGGCAGGAAGCAGAACACACTAGCAGGGGTGAGGCTGGGTGAAGTGTGCAAGGGCTTTCCAAGGCACCATTCTCACAACTTTCCCATAGGTGTGAAACTTTACAAAACAAGCCGTCCAGGGAAAGAGAAAAAACTAGAAAGGATGCCTAAGCCCCAACCCTCCAAAATTCCTGTGTACAGCCAGTCTTAGGAACTGCTGATTCAGTCCACCCCCCTAAACACTTCGTAAGATTTTTAGAAATAAAAACGATGAAGAGGCATGGGGTATGATCTCAGAGGGGATAACCCGGCTGACTCAGCGGCAAGGCCGAGACTGCTTACCTGCTGCTACCACTGCCTCACCTGGGCTCCTGCTGCTGCCTCAGAACAGCTCCCACCAGGGTCAGAATCTCAACAGACAGAGCACGGTCCGCTCTAAGAAGGGACCCAGAACCTTAAGGTCCAAAACACCAAGCGCTCCAAGTGGAAAAACCCATACAAATGCCTCGGCCTCTGAGGGCAGACGCTATGGCTCTGGAGGGTCTCCCCAAGACCATGTCCCCGAGACTAGCTGTGGATGTGGCTACCTTCCCCACCCAGCCCCCCACGCACCCAGCTCCTCTCTTGTGAAGGGCAGGAAGGTCGTGTCCTCATTCAGGTTCTTATTGAAGTCAATGCACAGGAGACTCAGCTTCTTCTTGATGCCTTTGATTTTCTGAAGGAGAGAAGAGCCTTGAGAGAAGGGAGGCACCGCTGTTAAGGTCCCCTCAGGGTTAAGGCTCCCCACCACAGAAGAGGCAGGTGAGGCAGGAAAAACAAGTGGTTTTTGGCACAAACACCTGTCTGCTGCACTGAGCAACCTTGTGATCTGGGGACTCAAGAGGTATCCTTGTCCGTCTCGGTCCCTGGCCTAGAGTCTTCTGGACCCTCCTACTGAGGAACTGCCCCCAGAGTCTGCAGCCTAGGCTTTTGGACATCTAACAGAGGTCAATGTTCAGGGTCCATCTGGTCCTTAGAAACAGTTAAAAATCGACCCGTCTGGGTAAGGGAGTGACACGGGGCATGAAGACGCCTGGGCCCAGGGTGGCAGGTGGAAACCCCGGGGCTGCCTGGCAGCGGCAAAGAGGAGGAAGCGAGCGTGAAAGCAGACACCGCACTTACCAAGCACGGGACAGAAGCAGGTGTCACCCTCCCATCTGGAAGGAAGGGGATACCTGTCTCCTGTGATATTCTGACACAATGAGAAATGTGTATTTCGACTTGACCCCATTCCTAAAACCCTTGGAATCTGCTGAGAGAAAAACCTCCTGGGGGACAAAAGTGACAGGAGCCCCTTGCAAGCACAGCTGAGCTGTCGGTGAGCCCACTTTCGGAAAGCCCCAGAACCACAGGGCCGAACTTACAGCTCCACACCATTCTCCACCTTTTGGGAGGGGAGAGGGGCTGAAGGTGGGAGGTTGAAATCAGATCCTAAGGGCCAGTGATTTAATCAGTTGAGCTTGTGTAATGAAACCTCGCAAAAGGACGGGGCTCAGAAAGCTTCCAGGGTTGGTAAACACAGGCCGATGTGGAGACGGAACAGCACTTCGGGGGGGCCTGGAAGCTGCAAGCCCCCTGCCCGCACCTTGGCCCATGCATCTCTTCCAGCTGCTGTTCCTGAGTTGTGGCCTTGTACTGGGTTGGCCAAAAAGTCCATTTAGTTTTTTCCATAAAATAAGACACATTTTTTAAAAAGATTTTATTTATTTACCTTTAGAGGGGAAGGGAAGGAGAGAGGGAGAGAAATATCAGTGTATGGTTGCCTCTCATGCGTCCCCTGCTGGGAACTGGCCTGAAACCCAGGCATGTGCCCTGACTGGGAATCGAACCATGATACTCTGGTTCACAGGCCCGCGCTCAATCCACTGAGCTACACCAGCCAGGGATATATTTTTTATTTCACCAATAACTTTATTGATTTGGATATTTTGAGTATCTCCCACTATTGGCTTTTAGTGGGTAGAGGACAGGGCTGCTGCTAAACATCTTCCAATGCATAAGGAGGCCCCAAAGCAAAGAATTATTTTGCCAAAATGTCAATAGTACCAAGAAACTTCATGAACCACTTTGGACACGTTTCATCAGTCACAAGACCTTGTCCAGACACTGCACAAATCTTTGTGTTTCAGTTGTGCTTTTACCTTTCTTGAAATAAAGAATAGCCCTGGCTGGGGTGGTTTAGTGGATTGAGCAAGGGCCTGTGAACCAAGGGGTTGCTGGTTCGATTCCCAGTCAGGGCACATGCCTGGGTTGCAGGCCAGGTCCCCAGTGTGGGGCAGCCACACGTTGATGTTTCTCTCCTTTACCCTTTCTCTATAAATAAATGAACAAAATCTTAAAAAGTATTTTTAAAAAGAAATAAAAAATAATACACTGAAAATATTGTTCATTTTCTTCCTTTTTCAATATTAAAATGGCTTCACAAAAATTCAGCAGTTTTGGTGTTTCTTTTAACGCACGCTGATATGACAGCTGTCACAACGCAATCTAACAAAATTGTTTCAAATGAAGTTAAAGACAACTAAGCACTACTAGAGCTACTGTACGGAAAAAACTAAACAAACGTTTTGGCCAACCCAATACACTAAACCAGCGATCCAGTAAGTAACCTGTTTCTCGGATTTCTGCAAGTCGCTTTAACAATTTAATCAAATCTAAGGAGGGGATTATGGGCAACTCCAATTTATAACACAAGTAACAAACTCAGACTTGAGACTAGAGTCTGAAGTAGGAGCAATCCTGTGGGGCTGAGCCCTGAACCTGGGGAACCTGATGCCCTTTCTAGGTGGACGGTGTCAGAACAATGGAGTTCAAGTGCAGGACACCCGGCCAGTGTCAGAAAGTTCCTTCACATGCCCTGGCTGGTGTGGCTCAGTGGACTGAGCCCCAGACTGTGAACTGAAAGGTCGCCGGTTCGATTCCCAGGGAGGGGCAGCACACATGCCTGGGTTGCGAGCCAGGTCCTCAGTTGGGGGCGTGCAAGAGGCAACTGGTCAATGCTTTTCTTGCACATTGATGTTTCTATCCCTCTCTTTATCCCTTCCTTCCCTCTTTCTAAAAATAAAAATCTTAAAAAAAGGAAAAAGGTTCCTTCACGTGGGACCCCAGATGTCTGGTTTCAGAGGGGAAGCCATGATGTAGCACTGCACTAAGGGAGGCAGAGACACAGGAGGGCCGAGTTTTTCCTTAATACCATCGCACCAAAGTCACGGGGACGACTGAATGCAGGAAGGTGCCCGATGAGGCCTGCACGCCCTCCTTCAATGAGGAAACCCCATGGCCCTGGGGAAGCCCCACATGCCCCTGGAGAGCAGAGCGGGTTCAAAGAGAGAGCTGCTCCAGACAAAACCCCCACCAGAGTTTAGGCAGCAGAAAAATGGCATCAGGGCAGAGGCTGGGCCCTCGGGTGGGCACAGGAAGGCCCGAGCCTGCTACCCCATCCCCAAGGCCCCTCACTCACTTCCTGAGTCTCCTCCGGCAGGTGCAGCCCGTTCCTCCGGCCTAGTTTGATCAGTCGCTCCAGGTACCGCGCTGCCTCTGGCCTCAGAGAGTCCTTCTGAACTTTTTCCTGGAACAAAAAAATCAAAGTTCTGTTTACAGTGAAGAACCATGACAGTGCCAAAGGCTGGGAGGCAGTGGAGAGACCTGCTCACTTGGACGCTGCTGAGGGAAGGTGACACAGTGCAGCCACTTTGCAAAGCAGTTCGGTGGTTTCTTGAAAAGACAAATATCCAACGACCCTATGACTCAGCAGCTGCCCTCCTGGGCATTCACCCCAGAGAGTGAAGCCCTAGATCCGCACAGAACCTGCACCCAGATGCTCACTTATTGGCGCAGCACAGGCTGCCCAGAGGGTTTGGAGCAAATGAGCACTTCTGCAGGAATAAGGTGTGCGGGCAATACCCTGCTTGTCAGGTTGACTTTGGTTCTGCAAAACGTTACCTAGGGGGAAATCAGACAAGGTGTAGAGAACTCTTTGAATCATGTCTCAAAACTGTATGTGAAGCTGCAATTGTCTCAACAAGAATTTCAATGCTAAAAACAGCATGGCTTGTGCTTCCCCCGGTCTATACCCGTGCTTGCACCAAAGTGCCCAGGAGCATCTTCCTGACCCTGAGGCCGACACGCTGGCACATTTAAGGGAGTGAACAAGCAGTACGAGGAGTGTTTACAGTCGCCTGCGAGCCCTCCATCTTCAGCAGCAAAGGCTCCCCTCCTGTGGAGAAGAGCACCAACTGGAGATGGAACCTGCTCTGTGCTGTGTCACCTAGCTTGTCACTCGCCCTGCTCACCTCATGAGGCAGACAGGACATTATTTCTGAGTAGCATCTAACAAGGTTGGGCAAGTGTGACGTCGTGGTGGCTGCAGGGGATGCATAAGGAGTCCTAGGCTTTTCCTACTGGTTTTTCTCATTCCTCTCCATTTGTCTTTGTCATTTTTTTCTTTTTTTATCCTCACCAGAAGACTTTTTTTGTTTTTTAGGGAGAGACTGAAGCATCGATAGAAATGCTTCAAGAGAGAAATATCGATCAGTTGCCTTCTCGTACTCACCCCAGCTGAGGATGAAACCTGCAATCTGGCTGGGTATGTGCCAGGATGGGGAATCGAACCTACAACCTTTTGATCTACGGGACGATGCTCCAACAAATTCAGCTGCCTGGCCAAGGCTATTTTTGTCATTTTTTAAAATGATTTTTAAAAATTGTGGTAAAATAGACATAAAATTTACCACCTTAACCACTTTCAAGTGCACAGCTCAGTGGCGTTAAGTCCATTCACACCGCTATGCGCCATCCCCACCATCCACCCCCAGAACTATTTTCAGCTTTCTGCCTTTTAAAGTCTGGGGCACAAAACAGTCCAGGTGGAAAAGGTGTCAGCCCACCGGTTCCCCTGGAGAGATGGCCCCGCCCCCAGCTTCTACTGCCCCTGCGCCCAGTTCCACGTCCTTGCAGTACCCTCACCTGCAGCCAGACGATCCTCTGGTACACGTCCTGCCTCATGCTCATCTCCACATCGAACTCAGACAGCTTCTTGTCCGCCTCTGTGCTGGCTGCCCGAATGTCCTTGGACGGAGAAACGTGCTGGGGGAAGTCAAGGATATTCCGCTGAACTGAAACAGGGAGATAAGGGGACAACTGTGAAAATGGGCCCCAGATGGAAACTGACCTCTGGCCCCAAGCACAGAACTCATCCCTGTTTGTTGATTTGCTCAGTAAGCATTCTCCACACCAGGCCCAGGTTGAGCACAAGGAAAAAATATGAGTGCTGTCGCTCATGCCCTCAGGGGTGTCACAGTCCAACAGAACCAGAGTCAGCTCACGATGCTCCGAGGCAAAGAAGACTGTAACAGAGGAGTATGACAAGTCCAGGAGAGGCTGGAGGGACTCGATGGCTGCTGCTGGCTCTATTTTAAATTCACAAAAGATTTTGTAATTTACATGCCACTTCATAGTTTGTTACATAGAGGAAGAATGAGTGGGTGGCTATAAGAGCATAGTATCAACAGAGACTCACATGACCCAGCAATTCCATGCCTGGATGTCTACCCACAAGAATGAAAACACATGCCACACAGAAACCTGAGCACACCTGCTCCCAGCAGCAGGACTGCCCTAACCGCATAGTGGAAATAACCCAAGTGCCCACTGACAGATGGGTGGATACACAAACAAGGTTCATCCACGCAGGGGAATGTTACTGATCCATGAAAAGGAGCAAAGCACCGACACTCGCCATAATGTGGATGGGCCTTGAACACATGATGTTCAGTGAGGGACACCAGACACAAAAGACCATACTGTGTGTGACTCCATTTACGTGAAATGTCCAGAACAGGCACATCCAGAGACAGAGAATGGATTTACAGTTGCTAGGAGAGGGGAAAGGACTTCTTTTGGGGGTGACAAAAATATTCTAAAATTAGATAATGGTGAAAGTTGGACAACACTGAAAATATACTAAAAACCACTGGGTGAATTATATGGTATGTAAATTATATCTCAAAAGAACAGTTTTAGAAAGCATGCACTTTGCATTGGGGAGCCTTAATTCAAATCACAGTTTGGTTGTTTCCATGGCTCTGGGCCTTTGAAATGTCCCGGGTCTGGGTGCAGCTCGCTACACCATGGAGACCTCTGAAGGCGGCACAAGGACTGACCAGCTGCTCAGTTGACTTGTGTTAAACAGTGAGGTTCTGGGTGGGCCAGATGCTAGCTGCCCAAAAGAGAACAGTGAGAAGGGCAGAACCAGCCTCTAGGTTTGGGATCTGCATACTGACATGCACCGAATGTGACATAAAGACAGTGCAGAGTAAGGGATTAATCTGGGCAGCCAGCGCAGGAAGAGGGGCTCAGGGAAGCGGCTTCTGTGATCACAGAGCAGTCTGACACCCAGCAAAGCAGAGGGTATGAACTCCAGGCTGAGAGGGGAGGCAGTGACCAAGTGCAAGGCCATGTGGCCGGGCAGATGGACTAGGAGGGTGAGGAGGGCTGACAGTGCAGGGCACTGAAGACCACATCCAGGACTCTGGCCTCCACCCCAAGAGCAGTGAAAAGGCCCTGAAGGGCTGGCCCAGAGGAGCGCCACAAAGTCAACAGTAGTTTTCCTTAAAATCACCCGGGCTACTGAGCGAGGGTGGGGGTGGAATGATGCCAGGTAAGTGGGAATTAGTATCCCAGGACCTTTGAGTGCCTCCTGTGAGAAAGAAGAGGAGTAAACTGAGGCCCATCTGCCCAAAGTAAGGAAGAGGAGGCAGAGACAGAACTCAGAGCCCAACCTACAGGCCTTCAGCTCAGGCCGACCCTTCAATGCCGGCAGAGCTCACATAGTGAGGCCTCAGGAACAAGTGAGAATCCTGCAGCAGGGATTCTCAACAGCTCCCAAGAAAACAAATTCTGCTAGAGATATGGGGTCAGGGAGTTTCTTAGCTCAGGATGCTTCACTTTGAGAACTCCCTTAATCTCTTGTTGTCACACTGCCACCTTGTACAGAGGGGGCTCCAGGAAGCGGATATTGTTATCTATTTAATTGAACACCTCACTCCTCCCAAAAGATGAAGACAGACTCCAAGGAGGAGAAAAGAAGCCAGCTAGGGAATGGTATCAGGTTACCCAAAGTGCAGGGCAGGCCTCAGGGAGCAGAAAAGCAAGGGGGCCAAGTTCAGTTCTCAGAGAGAAAACAAATATCCCCTGGGACTAGAAAAGGGGTGAGAAGGGCTCCAGTTTCACGGCCCGCACCTGAGCTGGCTCTAAGAAACCGGGTGACGACCTATCATGCCAGTGGCCAAGTAGAGCAGGGCATACAAGGGAACGGGCCACACCTGCTGGATGCCTTTACCCACCACGACCCCAGGGGGTGCGTGGTGCCACCTCAGGGTCAGGGCTCAGGAACTCCATGCCCAGATCCTGACTTGGACTTACCTGTGTAGGACACCTCCACGTCAGCCAGTGCCTTGAGTGTATTCTCATAGGACACGTCCTCAAACTTCTGGGAGCCCACCTGGTCATACACGTGCTTGGTCTGCTCCATGAGCTCCGCCGTGAGCTCCACTATTTGTTGGGCACTCAGGTCCCATCTCAGGTAGTTCACCACAGAGCAGGGGGCTGCTGTGTCCAGGGCATCTCCTGCACAGGCTGCACAGAGGACAAAACCCCACACCAAGTGTCTGCTTGATGTCCAGAATTAGGGTCAGAGTAAATGATGGGGGAGGGGTGCAGAGGGATAGGGGAGGCACTGTATCTGTCTGCAGATGAGCAAGGTTCAAGGGCTTTGTGGGGATACACAGGCTGCTCAGTCCTCTGAAGGTGATTCTGCTCCTCAGGCGACAAAGAATGATGTATGGGGACATTTGTGGTCATCAGGACTGAGGTGAAATGCCATTGCATCTAGTAGGTGGGGACCAGAGATGCTGCTCAACACCCAAGGGTGCCCAGGATGGCACTCCACAGAGTGACTCGGCCCCAAAAGTCAATAGTGGGGAGGGGGACATTTGGTGTACACATACATTTCACTCAAAAAAATAACTTGATTATAGGATGCAACTCCCAACCTCCCTGCATGAATACGTGCCATTTGAACTGTAGTATCTTTCTACAGTAGGGGGGAAATTCTAATTACTTAAACATCCCTAGCCCTGAGATTTTTTGGATAAGAGACCATGGTCTGTACTAATAGCAGTCACTCAACACCCTCTGGGGGAGATTCAGAGTGTATGATGCTTTGCGCTCTTCCTTCTTTGAATTCTCACACAGTGCTGTACTTTGCATCCCATTTGCCTGTTTTGTGGATGGGAATTCTGAGATATGGAGAATTCGAGTCTCCCACCACAGTGATCCCACAGCCAACCAATGTTGAAGGTGGGGTTCATGTCCGCAGTCCTGTTCTGCTCCCATTCTGGGAACTGCTGTACCCACAGCACCGTTGTTAATCTGCTCATCTGGTTGTCAGGTCTTCCTGTCCCCTTCCCAGGGCTCCACCCTATACCCCATATTCAAGTTCAAACCTTTCATCAGCATCTACACCCGCATGTTTTTGTAGAGCCCATGAGCTAAAAGTGACTTCATATGAGAAGTGTGTGTGGCTGCCAAGCCTAAACCACGTGTGTCCTTCTAGAGCCGTTGCTGCCCCCCGATCTACATTGTCCGGATTCTCCTGGATCCTCTATGGCAGGTTTGGTCAGCTGGTTTTGCCAACTGCTCCATGCCCAGCCACACTGGCCTTCTTCAGTCTCCTTGGCCTTCCTGCAGGTTGTCCTCTGCCCTGAGCCCCCTCCCTGCCAGTCTTCTTTCCACATCCTCTCTCAGAGATGCCCCGCCACAGCATTCCTATATGATCTGTAGGTCTAGAATGGCTATACCTGTTTCAAATTACTTGTTGAGTTAGAGAACAGAGTAGGTGTGGAATGTGTAATGGACAAGAAGGGGTTGCTCCAGGAAATACCTAGCTATGCCTCATTTCCCCCTTCTGGCCAGCCAGGGGTTAAGCAGAGCCAAAGTAGTCCTGCACTCCTTTTCTTATGAATCGTCTAGGAATCTCTGCAGGGTGCTGCTGGCTCAGACCTGCGTTTGGTATCTTTGGAGTAGGGTTTTTGAAAAGCACTATTAATATTGGCAGCAGGGTCATGGAGGGGAGGGGCGTCCTGTGCACTCTAGGATTCTTTCTAATCAGCATCCCTGGCCCCTCACCTACTCTATTCCAGGAGTATCCCCAGTCATAACAACTACAGATGTCCCCCGACATCATCCAGGGTCCCCTGGGGCGGCACAACCATCCCAGCCAATGACCATTAGTATACACTAAGAGGGAAAAAGATAAGCTTTTAAATCAGCCCAGGTCAGATTTTCTGGCCAAAAGACTGCCGAAAACTTAAGGAAAATCTGCTTGCAGAATACTTTTGATTTCAGAATTGTCAAAAAGAGACTGTAGGTCTGTATTAAAATCAGTGTTAAAGAAAGGTTCCAAGAACTCAGAAAAGGTGGGAGATCCACTTGAGCTGGAAGTATCAGAAAAATCTGGAGAAGTGAGGATTTGAAAAATCTGAGCAGATGCATTAATTCCATAAATATTTACTGATTATCACCTGTGTGCCAGGACCCCAAGCTAACAATCAGTCCTGCGGCAAACAAGGCAGACAACACTCTCTGCCTTCCTGAGTCCTTCATAACCCTAGTTGCAATCATTATCATTAATAAAATTATTATCATCACCATCGCAATGGGCTGAAGATCTGGGAAGGACAGGCGGCCAAGGGAAAATTCCAGGAGGCACCACACAACAACCTGGGCGATTTTCTAACATATACTTAACAAGGTTATATTGCTTCCCTAATGAAAACCCTTCTATAACGCCCATTTGCACTTTAAACCTGTGATCTAGCCAAAATGACGTTATTACTCTTTAAAAGCGTTACACGTGCTCTTGCCTCCCCGCTTTTGCCCCCACGGTTACTGCCAACTGCGACGCTCCTCCCCGAATTCTTAGCAGGACATGGGCTTCTCCCCATCGAGTCCAGGCTGAAATGCCACCGCCTCCCAGAAGCCCTCCAGGACTGCCATCTCTGATTAACAAGCGCCATCAGCCCCAGCAATGACCGTTCTCTAAAGTCCTCGCTTTTTCTACGCTTGCTGAACTTCTGTCTCCGGCTCTGGAACTTCGCCTACAACTCAGTGTCTCTGCCAAAATCCACCCCAGGGCCCGACCCGTCCTTAGTAGAAGCGACGTGGTGTTGGCTGAATGAGTGAAGCACTGGAAAAATTGGTTCGTTCATTCATTCTGCCACCGATCGGACGAGGTTCTGAGCTCGCCAACATCACCCCAGGAATACCACACACCCGGTCACTCGAGGGTCACTTCGTCCCGCTCTTAGGCCCAAGTCGCGACCCCCGAAAGCACGAGGGTGTAGGGGGCGCCTGGATCTCTCTAGCGGGACAGCACCGAGGGGTTGCCAGTACCTGCAGGCGTCTTCATGCCGGGAGGGTTTGCACCTGCGGTCTCTCTACCTGGTCCGCGTCCGGCCGACTCAGCCTCCGCGGCCAGCCGCCTGTGTCCGTTCGCTGTACACCGCGTAAGAGAGTAAGGTGCCCGCCGCCCGCGCGCCCACTGAACGCTGGGAGGGTGCTTACGCCGGAAAGTACGGCGCACGCGCGCCCTTGCTGCACTGTTCCTGCCAACCACACTCTGCGCACGCGCTCCGCAGCCCTCCCTGCCGGTCATTGGCTGTCAGCTGCAAATGAGCGAGAGACAGTCATCGCGGTGCGTTCTGGCGCTTCTAAGCCTGTAAATATAAGACTCTAAGTGCTCTCTGCTCAGTACTTCGCCTGGGCTTCTAGTCCTTGTGTTAATTGGTAACTGCCTCTTTTCTACCTTACAGGAAAAAAAAAAAAAAACAATTAAGTATCATTGAGAAAGCTTCAATGAACGACGGATCCAGAATTTAAAATTGCGATAGGTATTTGATTTAGTGCAGTAACCTGACCTCTATATATACTGTTATCGGCTAAAATAACAAAGTCTTGAACTAAGGCACTCAGAAAGAGAAATATACTAGAAATAAACTCGAAAACAAAAAACCCTTTTATTTCTGCCAGAGAAAAATACTCCAAGGCGTTTAACGTGCATGCGTTTTAAATAAGATGAAAATGAACCGAGAGAGCACTTTTGGCAACTTTAACACTAGTGATGGGCAGTTTTGAGTCACCCTAGGGAATTTTTCGTCACTCACTCTGTTAAGCACACCAAGCTTAATTCTATTTTAGTCTTAATTTTCACACTTCTCTGTACCTGGAGTGTTTTTCCTTACCTTCCAAATTCACATTTAAAAAGAGATTCTCCTTAACCACCCCAGCCAACCTACCTCCCCAATCACAGCCACAACACCTCATTTTTTTCTTCATAGCGCTTGCCATTCAGTGAAACGCATGATTTATGTACACTTTGATAGTTTAGTATTGTGTAGTACATGAGTTATGTGCACTGTATGGTACTTTAGTATTTTATAATTCCTGTACCCCAATATAAAGAAATTATTACACTTCGCTGATCTTTATAGTTAGCTTGCAATAAATACTTGTTGACTATTAGGCACCTGCTGTGAACAATTTATGTATTCATTTACGTCTTATGGATTGAATGAATGAAAGCATTTGTGGGTGAGTGGGTGGGGGAATAAACGAACAAAGATAGTGAGTAACTGTTGCTGGAATTCACATAATGCCAGTGACCCAAACGCAGCTGCTCCACGTGGCCAGCTCGCCACCACGTGACAGTCCCCGCCTACCCGCAGGAATCCGCCACTGTCCCACCATGCACCGCTCCATTTTCGCTCTGGACCTAGAGAACAAGTCAGTCCTAATTTCCGGCAGTCATTTGGTCGCAAAGGTCAGTTTCCTTAACGACCAGCTCCTTCCCGCCTCTAAATTACGTCACTTCCCCAGCCCCGGCCTACACAATTGACACGCCTGCGCAGAATGAGGGTCAACGCGGGGGTCTATTCCTTTCGCGCAGGCGTTCTAACTGAGAGGCGGGGCCTGGTGGCGCCGCGGTGCGCAGGCGCAGCCGTCGGTGGGTCGGTGTTGGGGCACCTGAGAGGTAAGTTGGGGGCTTGTCGTTGAGCTAATTGGCCTTGGTTCCGCGGCTCGGTGTTGCTGGAGCTCCGGGGCCCGTAAGGGAGGTCCGTCTGGGCTGGGGTCGCTTCCCGGTTCTCCGGGTGCTGTGAGTGGGCGGTGTGGAGGGGAAACTGAGGCCGGGCGTCGACTGGCGGTCGTCAGACTGGCTCTCGCCGGTCCCTGGAGCTCAGGACTGGGAAATGCTGGTTCGCAGATCCGTGAGTAGAAAACGAGAAGTAAAAACGTCCCGCACGTAGTGATCGCTTGCTGAGTGTCCGCTGCTGTCTGGAGCACGGTCCTTTTAAATCGAGGGACCCTTGTTCATGGGGCTCAGGTCGGGGCTCCTGCATCAGCGCCGCTGTTCTCCAGGTGGGTGACCTTTGCCAGCTTCTTGACTTATCAGAGCCTCAGTTTTCCCCTCTGTAACACGTGCATTGTTCCAGCCCCTGCCTTGGGGGCGGGGGATTGGGAAGAGTTAAAACCACAGGGCCCAGTTCAAAGGGGTCAGCAATTAGTCTTAATTCACAGTTGGGGTCTTCTGCATATTGGCTAGAGGCGGGAGAAATCTGGGCTTGAGAACCAGCTGCACCGTCCCTCTCTGGCTGTGTAAGCTTAGACAAGTTGCTTTCCCTCTCTGAGCAGCATGTCTTTTTTTCAGTGGGGACTGTAGAATTATATGCCTCCTAGAGTCTGTGTGGGAACATTCTTCGGTCAGGTTCTTGGTACTTGTTAAGCACTCACTGGAGAATAACTAGTTTTGTCATTAGGTGTCAGAACATGGTGGCTGGCCTGCGTCCCTGCGTGATGCTCCTGTTTCTTTTGTGTATCTTTGCTTGTTTGTTTAATCTAGTTTTCCTCTCCCTAGGCCAGTGATTTTGTCCCACCTAAGCACTGAGTGATGGGGACATTTTTGGTTGTCACAACTGGGGTGCTCTTGGCATCAAGTGGCTGGGGGTTCAGGGATGCTGCTCAACCCCCCACAGCGCCCATGATGGTTCCCCAGCCAATGATCCACCCCAAATGTTAGCAGTTAAACCTTGTTCTAAACAAGTGATTCTTCACGGGCAAGGTTTCTGCGGTGGTGGGGGGAGTGAACCCTGAGAAATCACGTGCAAGGTTTTGTGTGTACACCTGTTTTTGTAGGGAGTGGAGAGGGTACTTTGTAGTTTAGATTCTCAGGTCAGATGGCCTGGGTTCAAAACTGAGTTGTGTCTTAGCTGTATGATCTTGAGTGGTGCTTTTATCTTTCTAAGCTTCAGTTTTTCTTCTGTAGAATGGAGATTAGGTAAAAAAAAAAAACCAACCCAGGATCCCAGCATATTGAATCGGGGAGCCAAATCCAGTTGAGACCTGTTTTTGTAAATGGAGTTTTATGGAAACATAGCTACGCCTAGTGGTATGCACGTTATCTGTGGCTTTTTTTTTGCCTTGAGTTGTTACTGCAGAGACCCTATGGCCTGTGAAGCTGAAGAAATTTACCCTGGCCTTTTTCAGAAAATGTTTCCTGATTTCTGAAATAAGCCGTTGCACATATAGCACTTAGCTCAGTGCCTGCAAAGTCCTTGGCATTCCAAACATTTCACTTGAGGTTTATAATTCCATCTTCCTAGAAGGGTGAGCAACTGTAAATGGGGTAAAGCTCTACCCCAGGTCAAGAACTATAGTCTAGCCTTGACTGGTATAGTTCATTGAATTGAGAGCGGACCTGTGAACCAAAGGGTCACTGGTTCAATTCCCAGTCAGGGCACATGCCTGGGTTGCTGGCCAGTTCCCAGCGGGGGACTCACGAGAGGCAACCATACATTGATGTTTCTCTCCCTCTCTCCTTCCCTTCCCCTCTAAAGGTAAATTTAAAAAAAAAAGAACTATAGTCTTACCTGATCCTATATATTTTTTTTTGTTTGTTTGTTTGTTTTTTTTGGCCCAAGACCCAATTCCAGGCGAGGTGGGAAGTGCTCAGTGAGGGTTGAAAAAATAAAACAGATTGTGGGTAGGTAGGCAAGACAGAGGTCTACTAATGAGGAAACTGAGACCCAAAGTCTCAGAGGATGGCCTCCCCAAGAAATCCGGTCATGTGGCTCTGAATTTGACAGTGACCTTACATTTTCCTGAGTCCATATGGATCACATGTCACCAAGTGCTTGGATTCAAAAGAAGATGATCTGATCTGACTGATGGCTCACTGTCTGCTGGCTGAAGACAGGCCAGGAAGGAGCCTTGTAGGAGGTACTAGACCAGAGGTGGGAATAGTACTTGGTCTTTGCTGGACAAAGAGGGTGCCAAACTCTGCCTGAGGAGGTGACCGTGCAGCTTGGTGTTGAAAGGAGAGTGTTTTCCCGATGGATCAAAGGAAAAGTGAGTAATGGGTGTGAGTGGAGCACAGCGGGTGACACGTCGATGCTGAGGGGCTGTGCGTCCACACTTGTTTCATTTCAGGGAGCTTTCAAGGGTTTGTAATTGTGTGGGACAACCTGGTGGCATTTTAGAAGAAAACAGGGTTGTGCTTTGAGGAATGAACCCCAGTTTTAGCTTTGGGGCCACCTTTCTTAGATACCTGAGGTGTCCTAGGTTGGGTGGGTGGAGCACCCACAGAAGTGGTGGGCCATCCTTCAAAAAGTGGGTGCGCTTCTTCCTGGGGTGTGGGGGATAGGTCACTCATTTGAGTAAGGTGTGCCATAATTTTCCATTTGATTGATCAGTCCTAGGCAGAGAAATAAAAGAAATGGAAGTTTGGGGGTTTTTTTTATGATAAGATGACAGAGTGGACTGAGAGCTGGAAGGGATTCTAAAGGTGCCAAAGAGGAACCGCCTCTGGGACAGCCCCCTCTCCGTACCCTAGGGCAGTGCCCGCCCACCATCACCAGGCTCATTCCTGTACCCTGCACCCTGATGGTGCTTTCTGAGAGCTCATACAGGCCTCACTGTTAGGAGAGAGTAGGCCTTTGAGAATGTTGTCCAGCAGCCAAAGACCTACAAGTTGTGATTGTTCTAGAGACACACAGTGCCTAGGAGCCATCAGCAAAAGTGCTGTCTCTGTGTCAGGCTGGGTGCTCTCTGAGGAGTAGAAAATTTGTTCATCTTAAAGCCATATGTTAAAGTCATGTTCCTGGTCCTCCCCGCTTAGGGAGGTGAGAGGAGAGGCAGCAGTTTTTAGGGACCATCTGGGTCAAACACTGTGCCCAGTCCTCTGCTCTTGACCCATAGTCCCTTTTCTGTACTTCCAAAACCCAAATACTCAGCACACAGAAGATTTCTGAAAGTTTGCAGCAAAATCGTTTGGCCAGAAAATCTGACTTGTGCTGACCTAGAGCCTTTATTTTTCCCACTTAATGTCTATCAGTGATTTTCAGCTGGTGGTGGTTTGGTCATATCTAGGGACATCTGTGATTGTCAGCACTTGGGAGGTTCTTCTGGAATCTAGTGAGTGGGGATCAGGGATGCTACCCGTACCCTGCTGGTGCCCAGGAGACCCCCTACAGAGAATGACCCAGCCCCCATGTCAACAGTGCTAAGAGGGAGAAACTCTGTTAATTATTTGGAGAAATAGTGTCTCTAATCACTGCTCACACCGTACACCAGTATAAATCCCCGATGGTCAGACAGTGTAAACCAGGGTGACCCCAGCATCTGTGAGTCACCTCCTCTCTCCTCCCACTCACTGTTTTTATTTAAATGCGTGTAGCCTTCTAGGACCTCAGTAGTCAGATGGTTGTGGAACACAGTTTCCTGGGGTCAGTGGAATCCCCCGACCCAGGTGTTCTCACCCGGGTGATCCTACCCCTACCTCCAGCTCCCAGGGAACAGTTAGACAGATGCCAGGGATGCTGTTAAACATCCTATATTGGTTGGGAAGGTTCCTCACACAGAAAATGCTCCACAGTGAGTGGTGCCTGAGGGGAGAAACCGTGCATCAGGTTGCTGAATTCCCACAACAACCTGTGAAGACACCTCTTCTACCCCAGGTTATAGAAGAGGGCAGTAAGAACATCAACTGGGACTCTTTCAGATGTGACACAGGGACAGGAAAGGCGACATACAGCTACCCTCGGGGAGAAATGGCTGGACTTCAGGCATTGTGACTCCAGATCTTGTCCTCCATACACTTGCCCAGGGCAGGCTCCATGGGGCCCTGGCTTGTGGACACTTGGTGTGTCACACTGAGGGGTTGGGGAGTGGCTGACATTTGGGATATCACATCAATAGACGAGGAGAAGCCTAGAGGCAGGCAGAGAGAGTTGCCTTATATTAGTTCAGTGGGGGCAGGAGGGCTGGGGGAACAGGAGCAAAGGCCCTGAGGAACAGAGGGCCAGGAGCATTGGAAGAACTGAAAACACGACAGAAATGAATGTGATTTTGTCTTTTCGTTTCCTAAATGCTCAGTGACCCCCTTGGTAGTCACCTCCTCTGGCCTCAGCTCAGTCTAGAAGGGCATAAAACGATTATGGTAAAGATCAGATATCTCTCTTTTTTTTTTCCTACTCTTAAGCAAACATCCATCAGGACCCACCAGTTTCCCGAGAGGGGAAGCAGATCCCTCACACACCCACTGTGGATCTCACTCACATGTCCCACTGCTGGCTCCTGAGGATCGGCAGGGAAACTGTGCTAAAAGTGGAGCCCAGGACACTTAGGCAGAGTCCAGCTGCTCAGCTGTGTGATCTTGCCTCAACTTCCATCTGAACTTGTGACCAGCTCTGTAAGGCCCTGGCACAGCTCCATCCCGTTCTCCGTGACAGTGATTGGGGTGGGGGAGTGTCAGCAAACAGGAAGGCCCCAGTGGTAAATGCTGTCAGCTTTGGGAGCCACAAGGCAAATCAAGCATGTTACATAGGCACTTACCTACATAGGAATGCAAAAGCCGTTCTCAGCCAGGCAGGCAGCTGCCCCAGTGTGACACCCGACCCATGTTTTAAAACAGACTGTGCAGCCCTGGCTGGTGTAGCTCAGTGGATTGAGCACGGGCCCGCGAACCAGACAATTGCGGTTCGATTCCCAGTCAGGGCACATGCCTGGGTTGCAGGCCAGCTCCCAGCAGGGGGTGCACAAGAAGCAACCATACACTGATATTTCTCTCCCTCTCCCCTTCCCTTCCCCTCTAAAGATAAATAAAATCTTTTAAAAAAATAAAAAATAAAACAGACTGTGCAGAAGGGTCCAGGTCCTGGGATCTCAGAGGTTTGTATCCTAAGAGGAGGACCTTTAAAAAATGTTTAAATTACAGTAAAATAGACATAAAATTTACCATTTTAACTATTATTTTTAAATAATGGCTCAGTGGCTATAAGTACATTCACACTGTTGTGCAGCTATCACCACCATCCGTCTCCAGAACTTTTTCTCATCTCCCCAAACAGAACTCCAGTAACCCCCCTACACCGTTGTCACCCACCATCTGCTTTGTCTCTGAATTTGACTCCCCTAAGGAACTCCCATGAGTGGAATCACATAGTGTTTGTCCTTCTGTGACTGGCTGATTTTACTGAGCAGAGTGCCCTCAAGGTTCACTCACACTGTGGCAGGCGGCAGTGTCCTTTTTTTAGGCCTTATAATATTCCACGGTATGGAGGGACCATGTTGTGTTTACCTACTTGTGTCCACGGGCATTGGCGTTCTGACTTTCGGCTTCTGTTAATCATGCTGTTACATCAAAAATATGTGCAAAACAAACATTTTTGATGTCCTCAGCAGTGTGTGTGTCTCCTTGGGTTTGGACCCTGGCAGACAGCCGGTTCTCAGGACCCTCCAGCTGGGATGAGTCACCTTCTGGGGCTTCACTGTCTCCAAGACAAGCAGGTTGTGGTTGATCTCCATGGGTCCTTGTGTATCTATCACTCCCAAGATCCTCTGGGTCTGGGACTGCCCATTTGTCCCCCGGGCTCTGGACTATTCTGATCCCAGACCTGGTTCCAGGGATGCTCTTGGGCCAAAGGCACTTGCTTGGTAAAGGCTCGTTGTGTCCATAAATAGGAGGGAGACTCATCACCGTCCCCCTCGTGTTTTCCAGGGGTGGCTGTAACTTTCTGTTCAACTCTCCAAAACACAGCTATTTTAAGTTTTTCCCCTTTTTAGAAATTGAGATATAATTCACATACCATAAAACCAGTAGAATTTAGTACATTCACAGAGCTGTGCCACCGTCACTCTGAATTCCAGAGCGTTCCATCACCCCCGAAAGAAACTGAGTCCCCATTTGCAGTCACTCCTCCATCCCTGACCACCACAGACTCACTTCCTTTCTCTGGATTTGCCTCTGGTGGGCATGTCACTGGAAAGGACTCACTCACGGTGTGGCCTTCTGTGTCTGGCTCCTCTCCTTTTTCTTAACACACACTTACTGGTGGATGTATTTTTCTGTGGACCAGAGACAGCCCAGAGCAAAGTCAGCATCACACGCCTTGACTGCCCTTGCACCAAACATTTTAGGCATGCTGTCAGCCAGCTTGTAAAGCCTGGGGGTTAGTGACTTGCTCTTCTGATCCCTGTCCAGTGATAGGTTAATGATGATGCGGTTGGGAGGCCTTCTTGATTTCTAGGGGCCACAGACTCTTCACCCCACTGGAGATGTTTCAGGGGGACCAAGACACTTCACAGTGTGGCTCCCAGCCATGCTGAGTGCATACAAGGGGCTTTGGGCTGCATGTAGGTCCCTATCCCGCTCCTGTGCCCTCTACATGGGAGCAAAGTGCACCTCAGTGTACAACGGGAGTGAGACGTGCTGTGCAGAGTGCCAGCTGCATCACAGCTGCTTGGGTAGCAGGCTCCTCACACGTTTCTTATTCTCACCTCAGCACCAGGGATGTCAGGGTCTGGTCACTGTCTGTGGGGGGCCATCCTGGGAACTGGGAGGTGGGTGTTGAGCAGTATCCCTGGCCCCACCCACTCGATACTGGGAGCACTCCCAGTCATGACAATTGCTGATGGCCTGGCAATGCAGAGTGTCTCAGAGGAACCCAGGAGGCTCTCAGGCAGCTCAGTGAGGATCCATCCTTTTAGTCTGCTCTGGCCCCCCTGTGATACCTGTGTTACCCTTGTGTTCCTTAGGGGCATCAGGGCTTGGAAACTGGGGTTCATAGACCAGAGCTGCTCATGTAAGGCAGCCCTCAGAGTCCCTGGGGAGCCCCAGGGTGTCCCCCCATTCCACCAGTGAGAGGGTGAGGACTGCCAGGGCCATGTCCCCCTCTTATGAGTACAAGAGGGAGGGACTTCAAGGGATGCTCTGAGCACCCACTTGCCCAAGAGCAGGGGCTCTAAGCCTGGTTGCCTTGGTGTCTTATCTGTGAAATGGGATCCTTAACTTTTTGCCTCACAGATAAAAGTGGCCAGTGTGCTTGGGTGGGGGACACACCTGCGGATTCCTACCTGGAGCAGGACCTGTGGGTGGAAGAGTGCCTGTGCAAGCCACCCCATCCTTGTGCTTTTGCCTAGGGTCTGCAGATCCTGAAAATCCCTGGGTATCATCTCTTCCCGTCTCAAGATGGATAACAAGAAGCGCCTGGCCTACGCCATCATCCGCTTCCTGCACGATCAGCTGCGGCATGGGGGGCTCTCATCTGATGCCCAGGAGAGCTTGGAAGGTATGCATGGACCTTCATTGGGCCCTGGGGATAGAGTCCCCTGTCTCCAGCTTTGTGCCTGCCCCACCCCACCCCCGTTTGTCTTCCCCACCTTCCCTTCTTTTATCGGTGCCTAGAACCACCACAGGGTGGATATGACAGGCCAACACACTTGCCCAGCCATGGACACTGGTCCTGTCCTTGTTTCACAGGCAAGGCTGCCACTGAGTCTCAAGCAGGTACAAGACTGGGCTATCTGGGGCCCTTTCCCCATCACAGGGTCCCAGCGTATGCCCCCCACCCCACCCCAATGGCTTTAGGCCAGGCCTTCTGTGGAAGGAAAGGGAGGCATGTGCATCCTGGAGCTGAGGGTCAGTGGGGCAGCCCCAACAGGTGGCCGTAGGGCTCTGCCTGTCTGTCCTGCAGGCAGTTGTGCAGTCCCCGGAAGGAGCCCAGTCACAAAGATTTGAATGGGGGGTGCTCTGGTCTCAAGCTTCAGGTTCCAGTCCAGGTTCTGGGAGGTCCAGCAGAATGTCCCTGGCATCTGGCTCCCCACCTGGCATTCTAGGCTCAGCTCCACAGGCTCCCAGCCAGCTGGCCTCCGCATTGTGACCCCACAGAGAGCCCTGATATCACCCAGCTGAGCCCCACTCAGCTGGGCAAGGACAGCATCTTCCTCTACACCTCCTTGCTGTCAGGGCTCAGGTGCATGGCTGTCAGTTCTGAGTTTTCCAAGGCCCTCAACTGCAGAACGAATCTATACCAGGACTCAAGGGGCACTAACTGCGCAGTGTGCCTGGTGGTCTCCACCAACCCACTTGAAGAAAACTGAGCACAAGCCCTGCCCCAAGCCCCCTCAATCGTAAACTTGGGTCCAGTCAGAAGATAATATCTTTGTGTCCCTTGCAGTTGCAATCCAGTGCCTGGAAACTGCTTTCGGGGTGACGGTGGAAGACAGCGACCTCGCACTTCCTCAGACTCTTCCAGAAATATTTGAAGCCGCCGCAGGCAAGGTGAGCTGCCCCGTCACCACCCAGAGCAGTGAGAACAGTGTGGATAGCCAACGGCTCCAGAGCATGCCCCTCCTGGGCGAGGGAGCAGGGTGCCCACGCTGTGGGCGCTGGGCCTGAGCTCCTCTCTGTCGCAGATCCCTGGTGGTGGGGGAGGGTCAAGGTGCTGGGTTTGGGAAGGGTGGAGGACAGTGGGACTGCCTTCTTTTCTCTGGGGCCAGGAGATGCCACAGAACCTGAGGAGCCCCGAGCGAACCCCACCTTCAGAGGAGGACTTGGCGGAGGCAGAGCGCCTCAAAACCGAAGGTGAGAGGAGGGTTCTTCATCCCCACTGGGCACCTCACCCACCTGGACTCTCGGGGCTGCGAAGAGTGAGGCAGGCTGGTCCCTGGCTCTAAAGCCAAGGGAGGGATGCTGTTGGGCAGTGGGTAGTAAACCAGCCTTTGGAGACGGGCCCAGGCAGGATGGCTTTTAAGAACACAGATGTGATGGTGTGGAGAAATCAGGGCCTCGCATACAATAGGTGGGAACATGAGTGGTGCAGCTGCTGTGGACAATGATCTGACAGATTCCCAAATGGTGCACAGACTGATCACATGACCCCACGGTTCCACTTGTGGGTGTGTCCTCAGGACACATGCAAACACACATCTATAAGGATACTTGTATAGTATCAGAGGAGCACAATTCCTAGTAGCCAGAAAGTGTAAACCACACAGATGTTGGTCTGCTGGTGAATGGATACAAACGAGGTAGCCTGGCCATGCCCTGGAGTGTCACTCACCACAAAAAGCACTGAAATGCTAACACTGCAGCACGGAGGGACCTCGAACACATGGTGCTCAGTGAGAGGAGCCAGGCACTAAAGGACACGCACGCAATATGTGATTCCATGTATGTGTCATGTCCAGAACAGGCAAATCCACAGACAGAGGAGTGAGTTTGTGGTTATTGGGGTGGGAGAGGCAATTGACTGCTGATGAGGATGGTCTTGCTTTTTGGGGTGTGGGATGTTCTGGAATTAGATGGAGGTTATGGCTGCACAACTCTGAATGTACTAAAAAAAAAAACCACTCAATTGTACACTTTTAAAGGGCAGGTTTTGTGGTGTGTGAATTACATCTTATTAAAACTGGGTTATTTCTGAAAGAAGATGCAAAAGTAACAGTATTTGACACTTATGTCCCCAAGTACCACAACCAAAGCAGTTACAGCTGCCAGCACCAAGTGCTGAGTCAGGCCAGCCCCTGTGAGACCCTCGATGCAAACCACATCCTCTGGCCTGTGCCTGAGTATTTCATCATCAGACCTTCAGTTTGGAGCTGGGGATGGCCGCGAATGTTGCGTGGGACCCCCAAGTCTCTTATGAACAGGCAGTTTGCATTTTTTCTTTCCTTTCTCTTTAGGAAATGAGCAGATGAAAGTTGAGAACTTTGAGGCCGCCGTGCACTTATATGGGAAAGCCATCGAGCTCAATCCTGCAAACGCCGTCTATTTCTGTAACAGGTACTGCCAGGCTTGCTCAGGGACCACACTGGTCAGTCTCACATCCTGGTGGAAGGGACGGACTGCTGGACCGTAGGTTACCGAGTGCCCCCACAGTCCCCAACACACGTAGTGTCGGGTGATCAGTGGCTGTCAGAGTTGATGGTAGCAGTAAATTAGGAGGCACCAGTCTCTACTCAGATGCGGAGCCAAGGAAATAACCCAGAATTCAGATAGCGTGTCCTATGCAGGTTCATGGCAGCGTTGACAACAGTGAGGAAGTGTGTCAGGCCTGTGCTTTTTCTTTTTTCTAAAAAATTACGTTCATCATGGTAACGTTGGTTAATAACACTATACAGATTCAAGATGTACAATTTCATAACGTGACGTCTGTGTGCTCCGTGTGTGCTCGCCACCCAGAGGCTGGTCTTTCCGTCTCTGTGTATTTGCCCCTCCCCTAGCCTGTGCTCTTAAAGGAAGAAGTCAAGTTAGCCATTTCGTAGCCTCACCGAACTGAATGTTGTGCTGCGAGAGGGGCTGAGCAGAGGGCAGGAGGCAGCATCGCACAACTAGTGTGGAAGCCGTGGAGACACGCAGAGTGTGGAGGACACCAGAAGCACGTGTGCCGGAGGTTGTCCACACCCCCTCTGGGGTAGAAGAGCTTTTGTTTTGATTTCTTCAATAAAGTCTTTGAGGATATATAGTTCTGGGTAGACAGAAAAGTTGGAGAGGGGTACAGACTGACTTGGCAACATGAAATGGGTGTGTGCCTTGCCCCCCAGGAGGAAGAGCCTGCGCGGTGCCCTGTGGCTTTGGGTTCAGAGCCCATCCTGTCACTGCCTGTCTGCTGTGAGCATTGGGCCATATCCCTCTGCTGCTGTTTGCCTCCGTTTCCCCTGATACACAGGGCAGTGCCCTCCCACAGCCCCCAACATGGGCCAAGCAGGCAGATGCCCGTGTCAGCCTGCGTTCATCCAACAGCGCCACGAACCCCTTCAGAACCCCAGATCTGCCCTACCGTACAGGTGGGGAAACCAGATCCCCCCACAAACGCCTCAGGTGACCAATGAGTACACAACTTTGACCACCCTACTTTGCTTCCCCAGAGCTGCAGCCTACAGCAAGCTGGGGAATTATGCAGGTGCCGTGCAGGACTGCGAGCGGGCCATCTGCATAGACCCGTCCTACAGCAAAGCGTATGGGAGGATGGGGTGAGTGCCTGGGTGGGAGGACCTGGCCATCTCTGCCTGGGCCTGGACCGCCCCTCCCGTGCGTCCACCGCAGTCCTCCTTTTCTGGTTGTGTGCAGGGATTTCCATCCCAGCAGCCAGCTCTCTCAATGCCAGCTGCTGGTCAGGCCGCTCAGTTCAGTCCTGACACCACCAACCTGGGGTCAGATTCCACGGGTTCAGGGCTCAGCCCCACAAGGCCATCCCCACTTCAGGCACCAGGCACTCGTCACCTGACCAGCCATCTATAATGGAGGTTTCCCACACCCCCCTCTGGATTGATAATTCTCTAGAGTGGCTCACAGAATTGAGGGAAACACTTTACCTATGTTTACGAGTCTGTCAGAAAGAGTCCAGATGGAACAGCCAGATGGAGAGGTGCACAGGGCCCAGTCCAGCTTGGTCCTGGATTTTGGGTGCCAGAGCCTTTGTCCCTGTGGACTTGGGGATGCACCACCCTCCTGGTTCATGGATGTGGTCACCTGCTTCAGGCGTGATTAAAGGGAATCCTTAACAACAAGAGATGACACACCTATGGATCAGGAAATTTCAGGGGTTCTCTGCCAGGAGCAGGGACCAGGACCAAACCCCACCTTCATCTGACCACCCCTGCCCCTCCACCCTGTGGGCCTTGAAAGCCCTTGGCGTCGGGTGCCAGGGGTAGGACACAAGCACCTGTGTGTTTGAATTGTCACACGTCCATCCTCTTAGCCCCTGCTCTCGTGTCTGCCCCACCAGAGCCCAGATTGGACAGTGAATGACGACATCGACATGCAGACACTTTGCAGGGTGGGGGCTGAGGGAGGGGGCAGGAAGCCCTCGGATCCCTCTCATTCCTAGCACCTCTCCCCCCAGCCTGGCACTGTCCAGTTTGAACAAGCACACAGAGGCCGTAGCCTACTATAAGAAGGCCTTGGAGCTGGACCCTGACAACGAAACATATAAGTCCAACCTCAAGATAGCGGAACTAAAGCTGAAAGAGACCCCCAGTCCGGTAAGTCCCGCTGGGAACAAGGGGGGCGACTGTCAGGGAAGCAGCGCACAGGCAGGCTGGGCAGAGATGCTCTCCCAGCTCACCGTCTGAGGCTGGGCTCGACCTGTGTGCGGAGAAGGTCTGTGCTATTCGGGGGCCTGGTGCTTGTTTACTTGGGTATGAGGCACGGGTGCAGAAGTGTCTGTCGGGAAGGAAGGCAGTTTCTCTCTCCCAGGTCCCTGGAAGACAACATGCTACAGGGCCACCCAGAGAACCACCAGGGTCGGTCATTAGGCTCAGGGAGGGGGAAGCGTGGACCAGAGCCTTTACTGTGGTTTCATGGGAAGGAAGGGGTGACGCAGGGGAAGCAGGCCTAGGATTGGCGGGTTTGAGTAATTCCCAGGGGCTCTGAGGTGACTGGACAGGGGAACAGTGGCCCAAGTGTGAGAGCCCTGTAGAGGAGGGGGCAGGAGTAGACTCTGGGTTCACCGACTTGCATCTGAAAGGTGCACTCCTGGGTGAGTTATTGACTGTCTGTAGGCACTCGTCACCCCTGGGGGGGCCCATTGTCCCTCCATGGTCTACCAGGCCCCAGATGTCAGAGCATCAGAAAATGAAGTAAGTGGTTAGTTAACACAGGGCTTTTCCCAAGTGATGGCCACCTGGGCTCATGCCTCTTACACAGCACCCCTTGTCACCTGCTCAGGCTGAGCGTACATTGGAGCTGAACACCTCTTAGAACTCCAGATGGACCCACACGGGGTCTCATCTCTCGGTTCCTGGGGCCAGTGTTATGGTCCTGTGTCCTGATGCCTCTAACCAGCGCTTTCCTCGTCCTCACAGACAGGAGGGGTCGGCAGCTTCGACATCGCAGGCCTGCTGAACAACCCCGGCTTCATGAGCATGGTAACTCCCCTCGTCCCCCCCAGCAGTGTCCTCCACCAGGGGCCTGCCGTACACCAGGGCCACTGGCATGGCGCTGTGGACACTGCAGACCGGGTCATTCTCTGGGGTGGGAGCCCACCGGAGGTGTTGACCAGCATCCCTGGCCCCACCCATTCCTTGCCAGGAGCAACCCCAGTCATAACCACAGATGTTTCTGTGGTTGTCATGTGTTCCCTGGGGGTGGCATGGCCCCAAGTGAGACCCTCAGGGGTTGGGCACAAAGGACAAACTGAACCCTGCCTCTTCTGGCCGAGTAACCTGAGCAAACTACCTCTTGTCTGCCCCAGCAGAGTGTTCTCAAAGGGGGACAGTGACAGTGATATGGCCACGCCTGCAGGTTCAGATGGGACACCGGAGCATTAGATGTGGTGCCACGAAAGACTTGAGTCTGGAGGCACTTCTGTCCTTTGAGAGCAGACTCCCAGATGTGACTTACGGGGGCTGGTCCCTGCACTCAAGTGTCTGTTTCTGGGTTATCCTGTTCACCCTGAGGCCGCACTGTTGACTCATAGGGCCTCAGGTTGCAGGGTCTTAAACTGTCAGGAAGAGAAAAATCCAGAAGCCACTGGCAGTCAGAGAAACATCCTCACTACATCAGGGAGCACCTCACCTCCCAACTCAGCCGAGGCTGCACTTTTCATTGTAGGCCTGTGCAGCAGCGAGAGTCAGTGGACGGGGTACTGGCGCTCCAAAGGGCATCCTGGCGCAAGCACTGGCCTAACCGTAGTCACTCCTGACCTCGTGTACCCAGCCCCTGGGTGTGTGTCCTTCACTGGCACGGCCTTGCCTGTGCGTTTGTTTACATGTTCCTGCGGCTTTTGGCAGAGCTGGTTGGTTGGAGCAGAGGCTGTCCTGGAAAGCCAACAACGCTTAACCTCTGGCCCTTTACAAAAAGTTCGGCAGCCTGTGAGCAGTGGGGCCGGCAGGCGGCTCTTCAGTTCCTACGCTGCACTCCCTGGCTCGGCCTCCAAGGAGTGTCCCCGGTAGAGAAGGCAGGCCTGAGAGTGCCCTGTGCAGTGGTGTTTACTGACAGAGCCAAACTGGGGACTGCCGGGCTCTCCTGATGGGTTCAGTGACCAGAAAAAGACCTCAAATACACCCACCCGGTGACACCTGAGGTGTCGGCAAAAAAACTAGAGATGCCCTGGAGTCTCCTCAAAGGGTCCCAAGCGGGACCAAAGTGGTGAAACGTGAGTCTCAGCGCAGGGAGACAGAAACAGAAGCAGGGGCGAGGTGGGGAGGGCAGGCGCTGGGGCAGGAGAGGCCGGCACGCTGGGGAGGAGCGTTCTCAGGGCGTGGTGGCAGCTGTCCTCTGACCACCGGTTCTTTCTCGTAGGCATCGAACCTGATGAACAATCCCCAGGTTCAGCAGCTGTAAGTGACAGCCCTTCTCCTCTGGGTCTTGTGCTTCACTCTCTTTTCATTGCAGTAAAACATAAGATTTACCATTTTAACCGTTTAGTTTCCCACTCAGTGGCATTAAGTGCACTCACAGTGTCATGCAGCTGTCACCACCATCTAGTCCCAGAATATTTCCATCACCCCCGGGAAAAAGACCATCCTCCTTGTGGCCATTCCTCCTCTCCCAGCCCCTGGCAACAAGTAACCTACTTCCTGTCTCTGAATTTGCCTGTTCTGGACATGCCACTTATATGGAATCATACACTGTGTCACCTTTTGTGTCAGGTATTTCTCAGTGCCACTTGGGAGCCAGAATTGCCCCATTAAGAATCAATGTCTTTAGGGCAAAAAGCTGATCCTGGTGGAATTCACAGGGGCTGCCATCAGGGAGAAGGGTGGGCCCAGGGGACCTGCCAGATAGTGGCAGAGATAGTCTCCTGCCAGTAGAGGCCAAGGGCCGAGTGGAGCCACTGTGGCGCGGGAGGGCCGGGCCGTCCTGTGTGAGTCACAGGCTCTCTCCTTGCAGCATGTCTGGGATGATTTCCGGCAACCACAACCCCTTGGGGACTGCCGGCACCAGCCCCTCACAGAATGACCTGGCCAGTCTCATCCAGGCGTGAGTAGACCTGCGTAGTGGGGAGGCAGTGGGCCGGCAGGGGCACTCCACGTGGGGAAATGGAAGTGTCAGCGCTGTGTCCTCCAGTGAGTGGTCACACTGCCTTTACTGGGGGCCAGGCATGGTAGACTCGTGACAAGTGCCTGAGGGATATTTCCACGTGATCATCGGGGCAGCGGCTGGGTGTGTCCCAGCCCAGCTGAGCCTGGCACCTCTCTTCCAGCGGCCAGCAGTTTGCGCAGCAGATGCAGCAGCAGAACCCAGAGTTGATTGAGCAGCTTCGAAGTCAGATCCGAAGTCGGACGCCCAGTGCCAGCAATGATGACCAGCAGGAGTGACCACCTACGTGAGTCCCCTTGGGCTGCCAGGGCGGGCAGTGGTGCAGGACCTCATCCAGGGATTTCCGTTGGATTTTGCTTCTCCCTGGCCCAATTCCCACGGAGAGACACTGGCTGAAACCCCACAGTTTCTAGAAGGGCTGGCGCCTGAGTGTCTACAGACGACAAGCGTGCAGAAAGTGATGACAGTACTTCTCTTTGCATGCACATAACACGTGGCCAGGAGGCCCCAGTGGATGAGAGACGAGGTCGCCTGCTGGGCGGGGAGAGGACAGGCCAGTGTCTGCCTCCCCTTCATGCCCAGGTGTTCTGACTGGGTGCCGTGATTTGGGTTTCTGTGTGTTTTTGCTGTGAGCAGATGTTACATACACAGTTGCTTTAAAGTACACTCAGAGGGTCCACGGCGGCCTCTGCTGGCTTGGGTAGCTGCCCCCACACCCCTGACCTCTAACCCATCTGTCTCCTGTGACTCTGCTCCCTGGGGACTGGCGGCAGGCGGCCTTTTTTCCTGAGATGCTCCTGTGCTGCTGTGGTGTCACCTCTTTATTTGTCGTTCTCACACTTTCACCCGTGATTTTTTATGAGAAATGTTAACGAATACACAAAAAAGGCAGGAAAAAACAACTTGAATCTTTCCATGCAGAGGCAATTTGGGGGGGGCCTTAATTTAAAGGGAGGAAGCGTAGTTTGGGGCATTTTTGTATTCGTTATTCATTGGAACTTTATCCCCAAAGTACCATCCCCAGCATTCTTATGTCTGGGCCCCAGAATCAACTGTGATGATGCTCTGCTCTTTCTGCGCTTCCATGGCAGCCACAGGCCACACAGAGGTGCACTGGACTGAGATCTCAGCAGCCGCGGTAGTGCCCTCTCGGACCCGGGCGCCCGCCGGTCTGACCACCTGCCTGTCTCGTCCTTCCAGCCGTTCCAGCGCCGTCGGGTTCTTCCAGGCTGAGTGGAGCCCCCACGTGTTGTTTTCTTCTATTGGATTGCCCAAGAGGGAAAAAGAAAAAGAAACTGGACCTGCATGTGATAGATTTTTATGCTTTTATTTCTTTCCCTTCACCCTCCCCTCCCTTTTTGTACTCCCTCAGGGCTCCCAGACCCTTCTCAAAACAGAGCCAGCAAGTTGTGAGCACAGACCAGCACCAGTCTTCAAAAACCCAGTCACTAAAGTGTTTCCTAGAATATTCCAGAGTGGGGATTGTCCTCGGGTCGTTCTCCAAGAAGCTGTCGGCTTCACTTCCAGCCACGTCTGAAGCCCACTCTGGGGTCCTGCTCCCTCGGTCTGTCTTCACAAGAAGCCTCTTTCTGAGTCAACTTTGGCTGCTCAGACTAGCTCACTGCCAGTCGGGGTCTGGGCACCAGTGTCCACCAGGCCTTTGGACCACAGGTTTTTGCATGAGGAACTCTATCTAGTTGCAGATTCCTAAAGACATTTTCATTGCCCGTCGGGAGTGGGACCATCTTGGGGTGCCCAGGGCCAGCTTCTGGGACAGTCAAGCATTTTGATCGATGCGCTTTTCACTCCCTTTGATCCTTCCCCAGTACTGACACCCACGAAGGGTGTAGTCATGACCTTCCTGCCTGGCCTCCTGAGCAGTCCTAGCCTGCCTGTGTGTCTGGGCCCATGAACTCCCAGAGGGCTCCACCTCCTGTTCTGGGGCCCCTGGGGCCACCCTGCTCAGCCTGCGATTGCCACCAGGCAAGAGCTGCCTCCAAGGAGGGCAAACCCACAACAAGCCAGGGCTGGGCAGCCTGCCTACGACACAAGGTCACCATGGATGTCCCCGATTTCTGCTTGGGCAGGGAGTTGGGGGGAGATCTGCTGAGCTCCCCTGTGCTGGCAGCAGTGTGGGAGGCTCCCGGGTGGTCTGCAAGATCAACCAGTGATGTGTGTGATAGGAAACTAGTAGGAAGAAGGGCCACTGCCAGCCCCCTGCAGTCATCACATGGCTGGCAAGGTGGCCCTAACTCTGAGTACTTGCCATGGTAATGAGAGTAACGTGTGGGGAATAAATAGACATTGTGACCTCTGCCTGTCTCTGTATTAACCTCTAGGTGCCACCCCTGTCCTCCCCCAAGTTTCCAAAACCCCCTCCCCCAAGTTTCCAGAACCCCCCCCTCCCCCAGCCTGGGGTTTCCAAGTTTCCCCAGGCAGATTGAATAACTTACTGCCTGATACCACATGACTGCAAGCTCTTGTGCCAGAGGTCACAGGTGGTTCCAGAAATAGCAGGCCTCCGGTCTGTCTTGTGTTGCCTCACCTTTGACCCCAATCACACATCCCCCATGTAAAGGGTGACCACAGGGATCGAGCTAGACTCCTGGGTTCACAGCAAGGTTATTCTGCATTGCTTTCCTAGTATGTAGTTACAATATGTAAAAATCTCCACTCCATAACCCAAAGCCCCTCCCTCCTATAACTGTTAACAGGGGAGAGACACTGCCCTAGAGAGGAAGGAGCCCAGGAAACAAAGGTTCTGTGTCCAAACCACCGTGGGCATGTAACAGTGCTCCATGGTCATCCTGTAACTTGGGTGGGTGCTCGGTTCCTGCTTACACTTTCCATGGCAAGCACTGGTGTAACCTGTTTCACAGGAGAAAAAGCAGCTTCAACTGGAGTTCTCGAATGGCAGTGTGGGAGGCAAACTTGGTGTGGAGCCTGTGTGGGGAGTGGCTGGCTGAGGACCCCACCTCTGCGTGAGGGCTGCCTGCTCTGATCACAGCTGAAGCAAGATCATCGGGCTCAGCAGTTGTCTGTCTTCCCAGAAGTGGAAAAAAAATCGAAGATATGGACTGGGAGTCAGCAGCTGCAGGAAGCACTCAGCCTGGTACGGACCAGGGAGGGGGAAGGAGTGAGGCCTGTGCCTGTCTCACCGAGTCTACTGGGCGTGATTCTGTTAAGAACCATGGTTGCCAACAGGGTAGGGGCCCTGGCTTCCAGTGGGTGGAGGCCAGGGATGCTGCTTGACACCCTGCAGTTCCAGGACAACCTCCCACAGAGAATCTTTGGCCTGGATGTCCACACTACTGAGAAGGAGACTCTGCAGTAAGACAATGTATATCAATGCGTGATTCCCCCCTCCCCTGGATCCACCCACCCACCTACCCCACGCTCAGCAATATCAGAAGTTGGGGGCTTAGCCTTGACCATAGCGGCTAAGTTGGTCGAGCATCATCCTGCAAGGTGGAAGGTCACCAGTTTGATTCCCCGTCAGGACACATGCCTGGGTTGCAGTTTAGGTCCCCAGTCAGGATGGGTGCAAAAGGCAACTGATCGATGTTTTTCTCTTGCATCTATGAGTCTCTCTCTCCTCTTTTCCCCCTCTCTAAAAATACATAAATGAAAATTTTTTTAAAGCTGGGATCTTGATAGAAATGCAAATTTTTGTCCTCCCACCCCCAGACCTACTGGATCAGAAACTCTGGGGGTGGGTCCCAGTCATCTGTACGTAAATGAACTCTCCAGATGGTTCCAATGCCCACCAATGTTGGCAAAAACTGCTGGGTGAGGCTATGCATTCTGAATTTACTCAGCCAGGCCCCTGCGGGCTCTGCACTTAAAACAGGCAGCTTGGGTGATTCTGACCCACATGTTTGGAGAACCTCACTTTGAGAAACACTGGTGAGAATTTGAAAATGAGCCATACATTCTAGAAGCATCTGCATGAGCCTTAGATCTTCCCAGACAATCTCTGTTGCTTTCCTCACCCATGTCCATCACCGGGAGGCCCTGCACACCCACTTCCAAATTTACCCCCAACTCAGCCTACCTGTTCAGGAAAGACCCAGAAACTTTATGGTTTCGAACCACTAGCTGGGTGGTGAAGGAAAAAAAAGAACTGACAACATCTCATCCCAGAATCCAGGGGCTTCTGCGTGACTTGAAAAGTGTGTCATGATAATTACTGCTCCATCCCACATGAGTTAGAAATAGGACATTTCTGAATATTCTGTCAGAGGTGCACTGAGGAGGGGAAAAGGCAATTAAATGTGGATTTAACATAAGTCCTGACTTGGAAAATGCCTCCAGGGAGAGGTTGGGCCTAAGATGTAAGGCCAAGGGCTGCTGCCGCCTCACAGAGTAATGAAGGCTCCGTCCTTTCTCACCTCCACACACTGAGCATGTCATCCCTGTAGCCTAGTCGGCAGCCCCCACCCAGATTAAGTCCCTGGAAACCAGGGGAGGAAAAAAACAAAGTGTGTCTCATAGAAGCAGTGTTCTCAACTGGGAGCAATATTGCTCTCCAGGGCAGTTCTGCTGATTAGGCCATGTCTGGGGACATCTGTAGTTGTCATTACTAGGGTTCTCCTGAGTTCAAGTGGATAGGGCCTAGGGATGCTGCTTAGCACCCCACAGGGCCCATGATGGCCCCCGTAGAGATGACCCAGCCCCTGGGCCAGCAGTGCCAAGACACGGGCCCTAGATAAATGTGTCAGAACAAATATCCCACACCACTTTGCCACAAGCCTGAGCAGTGGTTTGTTCACTGGCTCTACAATGCTCTTTTATTTTTGCAGCAAGTATTTCACTCCAGCAGGGGCAACTTGAAAACCCCAAACGCACTTAGTTCCCTACCCTGCTCCTCCCTTTTGCAAATGATGATTTCAAAGCCGAAGCAAAGATGGAGCTCTCTTGCAGTGGCTAGTGTGGCTCAGGGTATTGAGTTCCAGCCTGCAACCAAAGGATCGTTAGTTCAATTCCCAGTCAGGGCATATACCTGGGTTGTGAGCTAGGTCCTTAGTAGGGGGCGTGCAAGAGGCAACCACACATTGATGTTTCCCTCTCTCCCTCCCTTCCCTCTTATAAATATAATTTAAAAAAAAAAAAAAAAGGAGCTCTCTGAACGTGGCCCTCCTGCAACGTGGCCCTCCTGCATAGGAATTTAAGGCCACCAGGTGGCGCGCCAGCACCACAGCCTCTGGCAAGGCACTCAGCCTCGGGACCAGAAAGTAAAATGTTGCATATAATCATGAAACTACCTAGGTTTTGGCCTAGAAAGACTCGGTTCTAGTGGCTGACATTGCGAGGCTGACACTGTGACTTTAGGGCTGGTTTTCCTCTCAGGAGTATAAGCTAGGCTCTGCGCTGTCATGGGGCCACCATCCTGAGTTGCCTGATGCATTGCAGGGTCAAATACGAATCTTCTCAGTGGTGAGGGTGCAGAGTGCAAACCTCCCCAGGTCTTCGTAAGCTCTGGTAGATGGGGGGAATCCTTTCTGCAGTTTCTCTTTTATTATTGTGCTTCTTGAACTTACCAAAGTGTAACATGCATGCACGGAAATACACACATTATAAGAAATAGCTCGATGCATTTCCACAAAGGGAGCACGCCAATGTCACCAGCACCCAGACCAAGGACAGAACCTGACCAGACCCCTGTCATGCCACCCCAAGTCATTGCCACCCTGAAGGGTAACACTGCCCCAGCCTTCAATGTCATGTATCAGTTTTACCTGTTTTTGAAGTATATACAAATGGAATCTGTGAAAGGTAAAACCATGAAAATGCTATGAGAAAATATAAAGTATAATTTGCAGCAGGCAAAACTTTCTTAAAGAGAATGCAAATGCACCGTGGTGGTTAGTTTTATATGTTCGCTTGGCTAGGTTATGTTATCCAGGTATTTTGGTCAAACACCAGTGTAGATGTTGCCAGAAAGGTGTTTTTAGATGAAATTAACATTTACATCAGTTGACTTGGAGTAGAGATTAGTCTCTCTAATGTGGGTGGGCTGCCACTAATGCACTAAAGGCTTTAAGCAAAAGCCTTCATGCAAAGAAGAAAGAATTCTGAATCCAGACTGGGGGGCAATGTCAGTTCTTTTCGGGGTCTCCATCCTGCTGGCCTACCCTGCAGACTTCAGCCTTGCCAGCCCCCATGACCACATGTACCAATTCCTGAAAATCTATCATCTACCCATCTCCCCTATTAGTTTTTTTCCCCTGCTGGAGACCCTGATGAATACAAGCTCTAGCATAATTTTTTTAAAATCAACAAATTGAACTTCATTAACAGTGAGAGAGGGTGAGCTATTGAGTGGGTAAAGGTATCTGTAATACGTATTTGACAAAAATGTAAATTACTCCTATAAATCAATGAGAAAAAACTCAATTAAAAAATTTTTAGATGTTATTTATTTATTTTCAGAGAGCGTGGAGGAGAGGGAGAAAGAGAGGGAGAAAAACATCTATCTGTTGCCTCTCACACACCCTCACCTGGGGACCAGGGCTGCAACCCAGGCACGTGCCCTGAGTGGGCATCGAACTGGCACCCTTTTGGTCTGCAGGATGACACCCAGCCCACTGAGCCACAACAGTCAGAGCTAACCCAGTTTTTCCATGGGAAGAACATTTGGGCATTTTAAAGAACAGGACATGCAATTGGCCAAGGAGCATACGAAAAAGGGCTCAACTTCCCTAGACATCAGGGGAACACTAACTGAACGCACAATGTGAGACGACTGCATCAGAACAGCTACAATGAAAAGCAAGTGAAACTCTCAGGACTATTTTTTAAAAACTGAACTAGTCACAAGGATTTTGAAGACATAACCTTGACAAACTACTTGGGTTGGACTATCAAGCAATAGCAAAGCCAAGAATGCCTTTTTTAAAGTCCTATTGTTCAACTGTTTATGTTCATCAAGATTCAAAGGGAACTTTCTAACTCAGTCTCAATCTAGGGCAACGGAATTAGAAAATGTATTTCACTTCAAATGGTATTGGATTGTTAAATTAGAATTCGATTTTTCAGCCTGGGGTCTTCAACTGCAATTTCCCAGGGATCTTTTCTTTACAATGGTAAAAAAGTGTGTCAGCGTCTCCAGGACCACCCCCAGGGGCAGGAATTCGCCAGGGGGACCCCAGCGCTCAGCAGATGGGTGTCCTGTCAGCCTTGATTTGCAATGAAACAGGACAGAGCAGAATGAGCCAAAGGAAGAGGCGTGTGGGGCAGGGCCAGAGATCAGCTGCAAGCTTCCAGAGTCCTCTCCCAGTGGAGTCACCAGGGCACGCTTAATTGCCTCAAAATG